TTACATGATTGTACATTTATCATTTCAAGCTAACAACTCAATCTTTCACCACATTTGTAAGGACTTTCTGAATAGAAAATTTTAAATTAGTCATTTCTTTTAGTTGTTTATGGCCTTTTCAGATGACACTTTTCCTGTAAAGTTGAGTGGTCTGCTGGAAGCACATGATGTTTTTAAAATTTTAGTTACATTAATGGGATTCATTTCCCAGCATAAGTGGTTAAGTGCCATTCTGGCTTGGGCTGGGCTTAGAAGCAAAGGAAAAGCCCCTAGAAAACCACAGAGGAAATACTCACACCTCTTTGTGTGGATAAATTAAGTCCAGATCATCCTTCCTGTCCTGGCTTGTGCTGTAGGGGATGGAGTTGCCTTTGGTGCAAATCCTCTGAACCAGCAGGACGTCTGTGGGACACCTCCTGATGCGTGAAGGTGAGTGCCAACTATTTAAAAGAGTCTGATAGCTCAAATCATCTTTTCTGCTACATGTGGATCTTTTTCTGTTTTCTTCAGTGAAATTATGGGTCAGGTCCATCACGTGAATTTCCTCTTAGTTAAACTGGCTGTTGACAGTTAAGGGGAAGCTAATCTTTGGAGGCACTATTTTAAGATGCTGGGTGGGAATGGGAAACCACAGGGGCCAGAGGTCGGGGTGAGGAAAAGATCTAAACAGAATGGGTCTGTCTTTCAGGAAACTGTAGCTAGAGACAATCAGACCTAACAAATGCAGAGGAAAATCTTTGTGCACATTGGCATTTCTTGGCAGGAGAGCTGAGGAGTAAATCACTAATAGCTACCACGGGATTTTAGTGGAAAGAGTCTAGGCTTTGGGAATAAGACAGTCATAGATTGGAATCCCATTTATGCTATTTACAAATGATTATTTTTGGACTCTTTACATGATATCTCTAAGCCTCAATTTCCTTATCTGTAAAGTAGACATAGAAATATTAACAGAGATTTTTAGAAGTACGGGATACAATTTGTGTAGTGTAATTAGCACTTTGCAGGCTCTCACTATTCCTTCATGATTATGTTTTTTGCTAGTCTTGCTGATTGCCTCAGAATGTTCTTTGTATGAAGGCAGCCCACACCTCAAATTGGTTTATAGACTTTGAAACTGAATGTCCAAATCTGACAGCTCTTAATCTCATCTTGGGCAAGGTATAAAAGAAATAAAATATACAAATATAAACATAAAATATAGAAGTAAATATTAAAAATCTGCCTCATTTACCACAGAGGTGCCAAGGATCTAAGGAAATAATAAATATGAAAGTACTTATAAATCTAAGGCCATTGTTATTCCTGTAGGCTCCAAAGAAACATTTAAAATAAATTGAGAACAAGAAACCCTCCTACTTGCTCAATGAAAGTAAAACTATCGTGTTTCCTCAAAAATAAGACCTACCCATAAAATAAGCCCTAGCAGGATTTTTAAGCATTTGCCCAATATAAGCCCTACCCTGAAAATAAGATCTAGTGATGGGCGTGGCTATGCAGCGTATCTGTACAACCCATGCATTTCGTCACAGGGTGGTAAAGAACACCAGCAGCCCTCTCATCTGCCCCATGAGAGCTGTATTGCTCAACATGAGAGATTGGGGCCAATGGTTCCAAAGGAAATAGAGTCGCAAGAAATTCAGGATGGAATTTGGGGTTTGGAGAGTCATGATGATGTTCCAGAAGAAGATGACTTAACTCTATTTGAATAAATGCAGATTGTTGTACTGTACTTAAAAAAATAACACATCCCCTGAAAATAAGCCCTAGGGTGTCTTCTTGAGGAAAAATAAATATAAGACCCTGTCTTATTTTCAGGGAAACACGGTATAAACCAAATCATACTGGTCTGTGAGGAATTCTGTGGAACTGAGTGAGGCCGGGCAGCCTGCTACCTGCTTCCTCCCTCTGGTGTTATGAGTCTACAGGTACTTGAATTTATGGCCAGAGTGCTGTCTGGGGAATTGACTCCCTCTTCTTTGCCATTCTTTAAAAATCCAATTCCATACTATGGGAGATAGTGCCTGGCACAGAATGGGAGTGGACAAACATCAGTTGAGTGAATGCATGTGTGACTCAGTTAAAGCAGGGCCAGCCCTGGGAAAATCACAGAGTGGAACACTTTTGTACAAGTGAAATGAGATGAAGCTTAGCACCCAGGACATGGTCTAGTGGGGGAACTGCGTTGCAAAAGGGCAGCCTATGGACATGCCTCTAATGAGGGATTGCTGGGGAGTAGAACAGCCACTGTCTATGTCCTTTGCTTTAGTCCTATGAGACTGGGCATGGGGAGGCAGCAATAACAACATGCTAACATTTGTAGCATCTTCTAGCAAAAGCAGTGGGGCTCCCCCCTTTGCTTTCTGCCTCTTGCCTTGTCACCGGCCACTGCTGGTAGCCAGCAATAATTCTTGGATTTGTCTCCAGCCATTCCACTCCAAACAGTAACTACTACTAAGTTTACATCTTAAAGAAGGAACACCACCAGCTACTTAAGAGGCATCGCTGTATATTGTAAGAGTCCAGCATGGCATACTCATGGTGTCATTTGAGAATTCTAGGGCTCCGCTGAATGCTTCATTCAGATGAGGTCCCACCAATGTGAGGTTGTCTATTTCTAGGAAGTGATCTCTATTTGGAGAAGAGTTATTCAAAGTGGCTGCATTTCAAAAGTGAAGGCTGGAGACCCAGGGATGCAGGAAATGGTTGATGGTTCTCCTCAAGAGCACAGCAGAATCTTTGGAAAATTCCCGTGGCCCAGATTTGGGGAGGCTGATCACCCTAATTTAAACCTTCAAGAGACAGATACAAATGAGGAAATCTTTCTAATGACTGGAAGGTTCACATTCCTTGTTCAGGGCACCCTTGTGCTAAATTAAGCCCAGAATCAGAGCAATCAAAAAGGGAGGTTTTTGGTTTTGAAGTATCTTTCATCATGGTGGTGGTGAGGTCTTGTGGCTATCCTGTTAGAGTCTGTTGCTCTAGTGACAGGAAATTCACAATTTCCTCTCATAGCACTGGATAAAAACTGCCGACTTCCTCTTTTTAACCATCAATGTTTTACATTCTAAGCTGACCTCTCCTTTCTGTCCTCAAAGTCTTCTGCCATTTAGGATACAGTTAGTTGAGTGGGTTCCTACAACTAAACGACCATGAGGATTTTCCAAATCCAACTTTCTGAAGCTGCACACAGGTTTCCTTGCCTGGAGTTCTAAGTGAACTCAAGCTCTTCAGTTGCACATGTGCCCACTGCAGATAGCTAGGATCACCTGTGCACAGAGTCTACTAGCTGAACTCTCATCCTAAGCTCCTGGGAGGAGCTCACATTTGTTCACATTGACTACCGACAATGCAGGCCTTTTGGGAGTGGTTCTCTGGTGTGAGAGGGGAAAGTGGAAAAGGCTCTGGAGGACAAGCAAGGACTAGAATGAGGGATTTCATCCTCACAGCAGGGCTTGTTGACTTTCCACAGTCGGTAGCTCATTTCTCTCCCCAGATGCTCTGTGTGTGCATTGCACTGTTGCAATTACAGCACTTACCACGTGACATGTGAAGTTACCGGGCCTGCTTCTGTCTCTGCAAGTAGACCAATGGTTCTCAACCCATTTCTGTTCAAACCCACTGGAGGAATATGACACGAGAGTCCTCAGTAATGATGGCTCACTCCGAAATTTGTAGTTTGAAAAAATACTCCTGCCACCCTCTCTGTCCTCTGCCCTCTTCCCCTTGTTACTAATAGTCGCTGAACTAGAATATGAGCTTTTCAAAGTCAGGGATTGGGTCTTTTTCCATTTCCAGCACTTAACATGTGGCTGGGACCATGCTGAATGAATAAGAGAATGCCTAGGTCACCAGCTACTTTGTGAGAGTGCCAGGACTAGAACTCAGGCAGTCTCAATTTCTACAATGCCACACTCTTCAACTCCTGCAATATTTTGAGCTTTGATTCTGGGTGTGATTAAGTACTGTTGATTTTTTAAAAGTTTCTTTTTAAAATTTCAAAATAATAGGTGAGTATTCTCATTGTAAAGGAATCAAGCAACAATTACCAGTTACTTAAAAATATTGTATATATTAATATTTTATTCAACATTTAACATTGATAAGATTTAAAATGCAAAACCAGGCTGGGTGCAGTGGCTCATGCCTGTAATCCTAACACTCTGGGAGGCTGAGGCAGGAAGATCGCTTGAGGTCAGGAGTTTGAAACCAGCTTGAGCAAGAGTGAGACTCCATCTCTACTAAAAATAGAAAATTAGCTGGGCATGGTGGTGTGTGCCTGTAATCCCAGCTACTTGGGAGGCTGAAGTAGAAGGATCACTTGAGCCCAGGAGTTTGAGGTTGCTGTGAGTGAGGCTGATGCCACTGCACTCTAGCCCAGGTGACAAGGCAAGACTCCATCTGAAAAAAAAAATAAATAAAATAATAAAATGCAAAACCACTTGTGAGAATAATAGTATTAGCTGTAGCATCCATAATTATTCATTTATTTAATTGTTAAGACTGCCAGCATCTTGACTTTTATAGGCCCTCCTCCCTTTCCAATATGCGTTTAAGACTTATAAATAATGTGATCTAGGACCAAAGGCACATCTTCTGCTTAAGAGATGGAGAATTAAGATAACTTTCTGAATAATTAGACACAAAAGAATGCTATTAGTGTTGTAATTAATTTTTAAAGACATTTATTCTTTATTGAAAAATTTAAAATTTTCCCTTTGAGTTTTGTACCCATTTACATCAAAGCACCTATTTTTTGAAAGAAAAACTACTGCAATTCAGTAATATCAGGCATTACCACTTGCTGTTATATAACCACTCTTTTATTGTTTCATGATAGTATTTTTACTATTATAGATCCAAGTTCTCATTCTGCTGTATTACATTAGGAATTTTAAATTAAGTGTTTCAATTGCTTTGTATATGAGAAAATTTTATCCCTGTAGTTTTCTCCAGAAATGCTGCATGTGAATTTTTCTAAAATGATTTATTTTGTTGAGAACCCTTTTCTCTCTTTCTTTTCTATAATGATCTGGCAGAAGAAAATGTAGCATCATTTCTTTTATCCTGAAATGAGTTATTGCTTTTATATTTGCTTTATCTTTAGACTATCTCACTGTTTTATCTGGGATGAGATCAGGAGCCAGCAGGCTTCTGGTTCTAATTAACAATTAAATTCCACAAAATACTGAGTATCTACCTGGTACTGGGCACTGCCTTAAATACTAGGGCTTCAAAGAGGACTAAGAGAGGCTCCACGTTGGAGAAGCTCCCTGTGTGTAAGGAAGCCAAGAGGGAAACTGCTGAACGCCATTTGATGTGACAGGTGCTGTAGCACAAATGCCCTGCGGGGGGGGGGCACAAAGGAGGGACTGACTGGTCAGCACCATGTGGGAATTCAGGGAGGGCGTCTTGGAGAAAGTTAGCCTTGAGATGAGTCTGGAAAGATGATTAATTTGGCAGGAACGCGGGGAAAGGAGCACTGTAGGCATGTCTGAGGCGTGGAGATGTGAGATAGTGTGGTGCTTTGGGGAAACTAGGAGTTATTCCATTTGGCTGGTGCGCTGGGGAACTGCGGCAAAAGCCAGAGGAGGCCTCAGATCTGTACAGACTCACAGTGCTTTTTTTCCTGGAGCATATTCTTGGTTGGTGTGCTTTTCCTATTACGCAACGCAGTGCATTATGGACAAAAGGAAAACATTGTAATAACTCATCTTTAAAATGTTGACTGGGGTTGATGGAGTAAATCTATGTGATGACAGTCAATAAAATAAATTTTTTAAAAGAAGAATCTTTCTTCCTTCTAAAATTCCTAGAATCTATTTTCTCCGAAAATAAGTGTTTGAAAAGAGGTAGGAAGCAACTCTTGACAGATGATATTTTCAGCTCTCTCCCCAGCCTTCGTGTGTTACCTTGGGGGCGATGCAGACCTGGGCACTGTGGACGTTTCCTTTGCTCTGCAAATTCAGCCTGGCAGGTAGGTCAGCCGGGCCCTGTTGTGGGTCATGTGGTTGCTATTGCCTTCTTTGGACAAGAACTGTTGTCTTTAGAGCAAAGGGACCACTGGACCACAGACATCCACAGACAGGCAGCAGAGGGTTTGTGAATTTGTGTGTGTGTGTGTGTGTGTGTGTCTGTGTGTGTATATACCAGGTTCATGTAATACTCCTGCATGTGCAAATTTGTCAAGATGGCTTATCATGCTTTCTAAGGGAGATAGGACCCCCAAAATGCCGAGATCCACTGTTTTAGAGTAGAGTAGTCCCCCCTTATTCTCAGGGGATGCTTGAAACTATGGATAGTATGAACTCTATGTGTACTGTTTTTCCTACCCATACATATCTATGATAAAGTTTAATTTATAAAGTTTAATAAATAATAATTGATTTTTCTCACAGTTCTGGAGGCTGCAAATGCAGCATCAAGGTGTTGGCAGGGTTGGTTTCCTTTGAGGCCTCTCTCCCAGCCTTGCAGACGGCCACCCTCTTGCTGCCTCCTCATGTGGTCGGCCCTCTGTGCCTGCACGTGCCAGTATCTCTCCTTGTAGGGATACCAGTCAGATTGGAGTAGGGCCAACCCTACTGGCCTCATTTTAAGTCAGCTACCTCTTTAAGGGCCCTATTTCCAAATAATAGTCATATTCTGAGGTACTAGGGGTTAGGGCTTCTATTGATGAATTTTATGGGGGATACAATCAGCTTAAAACATATAGTAATTGGTGATCAGCAAGAGGGCAATTGTGACCCAGAGACAATGAGAATGTCTTCAGACTTCTGACCTGGCGTAGCCGGCCTTGCAGCCCCCTGGGGTGACACCTGTGACACTGAGGAGCTTGACAGATTCAGGCAGGAGGCCTGTTGCTCTCCTCTGGTCTGGTTTCTCATGGCCAGCCTGAGATCCATAACTGCTCCCAGCTGGCCAGCCTAAAGTTCTAGTCACATGCATCGTGGCTCCTGTCAAGTCACCCTCTTCCTCAACTTGTCTTTTTCTATCTTCTGTCTCTGTCTTCTTCTCTTTTTCTCACCTGCACATATACCATTTCCTACAAAGTGACTCCAGTTTCCACCACTCTTCCCATCTGGAATATCTTCCCCTTGGACCTGCTCAGCCTTGCTCTTCTTCTATGTCAAGGTATTTTTCCAAACACTAACTTTGAAACAGCACCAGAGTGATACATCACAGAGGGAAAGAGGAAGACTGAGAACATCTTTTTAATTTTGAAAATGTTCCTCTTGTATATGGGTAATTCTCTCATAAACAAGAGCATTCTCCCAGTCTTCCTTAGAGGAAAGTTAATGAATATTTCCCCTTATTTCTAGAACTAAGAATATACCAGGGTTTTTTGTTTTTGTTTTTGTTTTTGTTTGTTGTTTGTTTGTTTGTTTTGAGAATGTGGGGAACGATGGATGGAGGGGCTGGCAAACCTAGCCTTTAGTTGGCTTTGTGTTAAAAATAAAAATTCTATTTTTTAATAATTTTAGATTTATAGAAAAGTTGTGAAAATAGTATACAGAATTCCTCTGTAGCTCTGATCCAGTTTCCCCATTGTTAATATCTCATAATATCATAATACCTTTGCCAATACTGAGGAACTGATATTAGCATATTACTTTTGACTAAATTCCAAATTTCATTTGTATTTCACTAGTATTTTCCATTAATGACCTCTTTCTGTTCTAGTATCCAATTCAGGGTCCCCTATTGCATTGAATTATCATGTCACCCTAATGTCTGCTGGTCTGTGACAGTTTCATGGTCTTTCCTATTTTTCATACCTTGACAGTCTTAGGGAATACTGGTCAGTACTCTTGGGTTTTGGGGAGAAAATGAACAGAAGTGAAGTGTCCATTGCTGTATCACATCTTTACTTGTGTTAGTAACTATCTTCTAATGGAGAGTCCAATAAGACTTAAAATGGGTGCACTGATTGCCAACAAGGAGAAAGGCCAATAGGTGTGTGGATTCTGCTAGCCACAGCAGTTCTGTTAGGTGAAGTCCAGGCAGTTCAGATCTGTGGCGTTCCTTCAGGTAACTGAGGCTAGAATTCTCTAGAAGCTGTGAAGTGAAGCAAGAAAGAAGTGAAGTCCAACATTGCTGATTTGGTTCGTTTTTACTCCAGTTCCCTCCAACCTCCTAATTTGTAATAAGATGAATCTAAAATAATCATATGCAGAGTTAGAGCATCATGGGGACATAAGAGAAGACTAGAGAAAACTCCTGTTAAATTCCTCCTTCAAGTCTTAGATTTCTGGTTTTTCAGAGCAGGCAATCTGTTTTTGTATTAGGCAAAGTTTTTTATGCTATAGTATTCATAGTAAACAAGGCCCAAATCTTACTGTGCAACACAGCAAACTATAATGCATGCCAATCATAGGTAAGCAGGGACCCAGGCTGGTGGGAACTCCACTGTCCTAAGATACACCCATCTCAGCATGTGTCTCCAGGGTGTGCAGTGGCAGAGGAGAGAAAGGAGGGTCACAGACCTGCACTTAGATGTTTCCTCTCATGTGTCCAAGGCCAAGGCAAGTCACATGGCTGTGCTATTGCTGGAAATATTGCTGAGCATTCATTTTGTTAATATCTACCACAAATCTCTTCTGTAATGTCAAGTGGCCTCTGTGAGACGATTACTCTCTCTTGCTATATGCCAAGGAGTAAGGGCACAACAAATGTAGCCACATAAAAATATCTAGACACACACACATCCCATACATACCACATACCGCACACACTGCACACTGCACATACCACACACACTACTAACCCCCCCATACGTAACACATATACACCGTACACACACTGCCATTATTTCTGAGCCATGGAGATGGAGTCAGTATTCGAGTCATTCCTCCTAGAATATTGTTGGCTAACCCAAGGATTCACCCCTTGTGGGATTTTGCACATTCCTCCTGGCAGTTGTGAAGTGTGGAGTCTGTTAATATTCTGCTTGCTGAGCCACGGAATCCCCCGCGAGGGTTTCAAGCTGTGTGGACTCCTTGAGGAATGTGTTAGTGGTGTAGCTTCTGATCTCCATGTAATCTGCAGTATTATTTGGTTCAGGTCAGTTAACTTTGGTCTTTTTTAGCATTTGGACTTGGAGATCACTAGCTTTTGCCATGGTTTTCAGCATGTAAGTAGTGCAGATTGAAAGTCTTTGAGCGAGCTGCTGCCCAGTGGGTGCTGCCGGTGTTAGGCTTGTGTGCAGGACTCAGAGGAAGGCAGCTTCTCTGGAAAGAGCTAGAAGCATTGCACAACACGAAGGTGTCTAGCTCTCCCTCACTCTCATTTGTCATTATCAGTGGCTCCTCATTTCATAGACCAAATATGTGAATGTATACACACATACACGTATCTAGAGCCCTTTGAAAAAGCCCAAACCTAAACAAAACTACACATGCCACGCACGCTGGAGCTCTTTACTACTGCCTTCCTGTCTAAGGTTGCATTTTGACAGAATTGGCATCTATACAGTATTATTCACATGTGCAGAGACAGGGGAGGGTGTGAGTAGCACTTAAATTTGTTAACATGGTCTTTCTTTCTTCTGGTTTACAGTGTCTTTTGGCTAATTCAGTCCCTCAGGGGTAAAAGCTCATTGTTCCAAAATTTCTGCCTTTCCTTCTGCTCCTCCTTAAGATGGTGTATGAATAGATGAACAGAGTTCAGGTGACTTCAAAGTCTTGGGAAGGGCTCCTGGATCCATGGGAACAAGTCCTTGTGCTGCCCTCTGGTTTTCCCTGGGCCGTCTGATCTCTGATCTGCTATCCATGGCAGGACAGCTGGCTTTGCCTGGGCTTTGGGCCATTACACTGGCGCCTACTCCTGAAATTCATGCCCCAGTTGTTTGCCTTGGTCCTGAACAACCTCTGTGCATGGAAGCCTCTTCATCCTAATCCCAGGCCTGATCCAGTCTCACAAAACTATCCCTAGCCCCTACATTGAGGCATACGGAAATTTCTGGATCCCTACATGCTACACTTACCTGTGTGGAGCTCACCTAGAGAGCTGTACCAGGTCCACCCTCTGCCAGTACATTGTTAGGACTTCCAGGTCACGATAAAGTTGGTGTTTAGTAGAACGTGAACGTTCTTCTAGCTACAGGCTTGCAACCTCCCACAGGCTTGCTGTGCCTGGTGAAACAGACTCCCATTCAGATGACCTTGGCTCATTAGACCTCTAGCATGTTTGTGCTGCTGTATCAGGAACACTGACATCTGAGCTCTTTGCTCCTTTCATTCCCTCCCCACTTCTCACCCTCAATATTTTACTTGTTAGAAATGATGGGCTTTTTCCTACTCCTTGTCTGGCAGGGACTTCCTGCCTAGGTGGCCCTAGAGCTTCCTTTGAACTGTAAATGTAATTTAAGGAGTTTCCTTCCTCTCTCAAAAAATGCCTGCTTCTTAAGACTATGGTCTTGCCAAAGGCTCAACAAAGAAGTTAGTTTAAGCCTCAGAGCTGAACATCGCCCTTAGTCTAAAATTACCCTCAGTTCTTGAGTGACTGAGTGAATGAGTGAGTGTGTGTGTGTGTGTGTGTGTGTATGTGTATATGATGAATCCCTTGGTTATCTGGTGAAGCCTATGGTTGGATTCTCAAAACAATATTTATAAGTGCATGTGAGTAAAATAAATAGGATTGCTAAGAAACCCAAATAATGAAGTTATTGAAATATTAAAGAAATAAATTAGTGATGGGGTAATATATATTCTTCTTTATTAACACATTAAATAAGAAGACCTAATAATTACCTTAATTTAGGTCTAATCATCAGGTCTAACAAGTACATTAATTCAGAAATAGTGCTAATAGTATTTGATATTTCAATTGCAACAACTGAAATATAATATGAAAATACCTGTGATTTTTAGTAGTAACAATGTTATTAAAACCATAGGCAGTGGGGTGTGGGTTACTGGTCTAGGTCTAGACCTCTGCACAAAGATCCAATTATTGAGGCAACAAGGGTTGCTAAAGAAGAAAGGAATTTTTTTTTTTAAAATATGAAAGACATCTTTTCAGGAGAAAGGGAGAAAAGCTGCCTCAAATCTGTTTCTCTGACTAATGGAGATCATGGGCTTTATAAGGAGGGGCCACGTGCCTTGGGGAAGATCATGGTGTAACTAACAAGGGGCCACAGTGCATTGGGGACAGACTGTTGGGGACGGTAAGTCTTGGCATCAGGAAGTCTGCCTAGGGACCTTCAGAATCTCAACTCTTCTGTCTTGCAGAAAATCCATGATTTCTGGGGAACAACTCAAAAGATCAAGTGGTTGGTTAAGGGAGAGGATATAAAAACATGTAGGGGTCATTGCAATTTGTACATGGAGCCAGTTACAACAAAGTCACAGGTAATGATGTCAATACTGCAGTTTGTAGACTACATTCACAATGGAAGGAAATTCTAAATTTCAACAATAAGTTAGTGAAAATTAAAGATGTAAAAATTTCTCCATTTGAGTTTATGGGCCCCTGAATTCTACTTATGAACGCTTTAAGGGTCTAGATCCCTGTTCTAGATGGTAGTATCAGCTTTCCCTATGAAGGGATGCTTGTTATTGGGTGGGGAAATATTAATATAAGGAGCAAGATTTATAAGATATGAAAGCACAGCTGAAGATAATTTAATACATTTCTCTATTATACAATCTTCTGGGGAAAGAAAATTGTTGATACATAGGGTTGAAGCGTGGCGTGGTTCAGCATTTTGTATTTTTCACTTACACCCACATCGGCTGTTACCCAATTTTCAAGATTGATTCTGTCACTTGATACTTCACTGAGTATTTCATGAAAACTTTATATTTGACTGGTGTTTTAATAATTTTTGCTTCTCAAGTTTTGCTTTTGAGTAAGAATATGAAAAGTATTTCTTAAAAAGTATATTAATGGAGATAAACCCAAAACGCTGTGAAATAATTTAAAGAGGTTTATTCTGAGCTGAATGTGTGTGACTGGCCCAGAGCACATGGCCTCGAGGTCCTGAGAAAATGTGTCCATGGTAGCTGGGTTACAGTTTGGTTTCATATATCCATGGAGACAGGAATTACACGTAAGACCCTAAGTCAGTACGTAGGGGGTGTACATTGGTTTGGCCCAAAAAGGCAGGACATCTCAAAGCAGAGGTGTTGGTGGTGGGGTGATAGTGGTGGGCTTACACGTTATAAGTGGGTTTAAATATTCTTTGATTTGTAATTGGTTAAAGAAATGAAGCTTTGCCTAAAGGCTTGGAATGTTTTCACTTAAGGTAAGGATCTTTGTTAATCAGAGAGAAGCCAACAGACATTTACCAAAACTCGAGTGATCCATTGATCTGTTAAGTATATACATGGCCAGGAGATGTGGTTTAAGCTTTGTCCTGTATAGCTTTAGGCCTGTTAATAATTTAGTAGCTTATTGTTACAAAGAATATCTCCAAAAAGGGAGGGGATCATGATGAGGCAGGTCTCACGTCCCTTCTCATGGCCAGCAATTCAGCTTTAGGTTTTTTCTGGGATTCCCTTGGCCAAGAAGGGGTCCATTCAATCAACTGAGGGGACTTAAGATTTTATTTTAATTCACAAGTAGAAATCTAGCTCTTGCTAGGGAAAAATTAGAGTGATAGAGTTAGATTTTCTCCATGAATCTGATTAGGAGAGCCTATTATATCTAGCAACTAACCAACAAATCTTTTTCTTGATCAGCCTATTTTCATTAAAATGTTGAATGCTGGCAGTATTTATTGTTTACTGAAATTGTTGTATTTGTGTGTGTGTTGTGTGTTTTTTTAAAATTTATTTAGCTCTGCCAGCTAAGCCGGAGAACATTTCATGCGTCTACTACTATAGGAAAAATTTAACTTGCACTTGGAGTCCAGGGAAAGAAACCAGTTATACCCAGTACAGAGTTAAGAGAACATAGTAAGTACAGAGCTTGTGTTTTACCAGTGGGGGAAGGGGAGGAGATAGAGGCTCCTGATTCATTCATGATTCACATCGCTTACAAAGTAAAGCTTTTCTCAGTCATAGCTTCTGGGTGACCACTGTGTACATCCTGTGGCTGGGGCGAAGTCTTGGCTACTTGCAGCCGTGAGGACGGGATCTGTGGCAGCAGAGGGAGGGGCGGTATAGCTGCCTGATGGCCTCCTCTTAGAGTCCCCACTTGGCTGAGATCAGTCACCAGTGATAAGCACAGTAGGAAAATCTGTTTATTTATCATATTCAACTATACCCCTTCTCTTTCCAGACTGTTAGAAAACTGTTCAGTCTCCCTGGATCCCGGTATAGGAAGTAGGATTATAAACCCAAAACTAAGAGGCGGTTCACCTCAGTCTGCCACTAATTTGCTGTGTGACCCTCTCAAACAGTAAAGTACAGGACAGTGATTCCCAATTTTCCCCCACAACTTCAAATATCACTTTTTATTAGAATAAAAATTTAATAATCTTTTGTTATCATGATAGCCCAAATCTTGTTGTTTTAGCAAGTATGCAGAGAATTTTTTTTTAAATTTTTGAATGTAGCCCATGAAATCCATTATTTCCTTCTTGTTCCTCTAGGAATAAGGGGGCCCACGTTGGGAACCACTGTAAGGTGATCTTTAGTCTTTTCCATTTAAAAAAGAAAGCCTATGGTTCCAAGTTTTTCATTTTGTTTTTTTTCTTTTTCTTTCTTTTTTTTTTTTTTGAGACAGAGTCTCGCTTTGTTGCCCAGGCTAGAGTGAGTGCCGTGGCATCAGCCTAGCTCACAGCAACCTCAATCTCCTGGGCTCAAGCAATCCTCCTGCCTCAGGCTCCCGAGTAGCTGGGACTACAGGCATGTGCCACCATGCCCGGCTAATTTTATCTATATATATTAGTTGGCCAATTAATTTGTTTCTATTTATAGTAGAGACGGGGGTCTCGCTCTTGCTCAGGGTGGTTTCGAACTCCTGACCTTGAGCAATCCGCCCGCCTCGGCCTCCCAGAGTGCTAGGATTACAGGCGTGAGCCACCGCGCCCGGCCTTCATTTTGTTTTTTTAAACACAAGACCTTATGTTGTAAGGGAATCTACTTTATGCTTTACAATGCAAGAAAGGGAAAAAGTAAACAATATTCTTTGTGTCACTGATACAGCAACAAGGACCTATGTCAGAGAGATGCTTTCAAACAGGGGTCAGCAAACTTCTGTAAAGGGCCAGATAGTAAATATAGTAATGTTTAGAAGGAGACCAGTCTTTGTCAAAACCATTCAACACCACTGTTGTAGTGTGAAAGCTGCTACGGACAATATATAGCAGCTTTCACACTGACTTTCACATGTGACTTTTCCAATAAAACCTTATTTATGAACACTGCAGTCAAATTTCATATAATCACACATGCCCCAAAGTGTTCTTCTTTGTCTTACTTTTTCAACCATTTAACAATATAAAAACAGTTTTTAGCCTGAGTGCCATACAAGAACAGGAGTTGGGCTATTTTTGGCCTGCGGGCTATAGTTTACCCACCACTCCTTTAAAAAATAAGAATGATAAAGGCCCAATAACCCATGGTCCAAATGACTTATCTTTTCCCAGACTTGTTAGTTCTAGGCCCAATGTTGAACAGAAATTACAAGTAGAATGAGAATCTGGAAGCCTTGATAGGTTTACTCCTATTTTTCTATTTTATAGAGACATTCCCCCTCCTCCTTTTCTCTCTCCTCAAGGGTTGCCATTCTTATTACCAGCTGGCTGTGTAGAAATAGGAAACCACTGGTGTCCCCAGGCTTATACCCAGCCCCCTTTGACGGCCCCAGGCCAGCTAGGCTCTCCAGGACGCCTAGACGGCTTGCTTGCTTTTTGGTGAGCTTATCACCAAGAATATCTCGGTGACAAATATAAAGATATCCCACTGGATAGTCACCCTGAGAGTGTATCACAGTGGGTTAGTGATAAAGCAAAAATCCTACTGATGCCCAGAAACAATAGGAATGTGAAGTTTTGAATAAATGAATGAATTTTTTCCTTAGAGAAGAAGAATTGGGGATGCCTTCGTGGAGGTGGTAGTTTTTAAACTGAGACTTGAAGGAGGTCTAGAGGTGTGGAAAGGTGAGAAAGGGCATTTCTCAAAGGTTACAAAATGAATAAATGAAAAAATATTCAACCATAGTAATAGTAATAATAATCACATCTCATATGTATCGACTATGTGCCTGACATTTTTAAAGTGGTTTATACATATTAGCTCATTTCCTTCTCATATAACCCTGTGCTGTATTACTATCCTCACTTTAAAGGTGAGAAAACTAAGGCACAGAAAGGTTAAAGAACTTGCTCAAGTCACACAATGAATAGGGACAAACCCAGGATTCAAACCTGGTCTGCTTCCAGAACCCATGCTTGTAAACACAACATGACACTACCCTGGGGTTTATTTTTGTGTTGTGCAATAACCATCAAAAAACCCTCAAGGTCCTTTCTAGTTTCAAGATTCCATGATTCCATGTGTCCAAGCTCTGCTCTCATCCCGCACCACAGTAAGCACTAGAACCTTGCAAAGTGGGCCTCTTTTTCTGTTCTCAGCCAGCTCCATTTCTTCCACAATCCCAGGAACCATGTGGACTATAGTTATGCCCACCCATCTGATTCCAACTAATATGCGTTCTTGTTTTCACTAAATTGCAGCTTGATAGTATGTATCTATCTATCCATCTATCTGGTTTAATGAATTTTATGAAAACAATACATACTAGTGTTTAAAAATTCAACCTGAAACATATAAAGAATATAAAAAATTACCAAAAATTTCACTGCCAAAGGTAACAACTTTAACATTTTGATGATCTTTTCAGACATCTCTATGAATAATTATGTAAATAATCTGTATCTGTTTATATAACCATGATCATTCTATACATGATATACATCAGGTTTTTTTTCACCAACAATAGAATATAAGCATCTTTCCATATCAATAAATATAGTGTATTAAAAACCACCATTTTAAATTCTATTGGTATATCTACCATAATTTATGTAACACATCCTCTTTGAGATATATATTAATATATATATCTTATATACATGTTTTAAGAATAAATTTTCAAAGCTAGAATCTGGGATTTTCAGGAGCTATTCATCATTTCTTGCCAATAGGACATGCACTGCAAGTGTAGCTTTTGGTGGGCTTACAGGGTTCCAAGTAGGTCTCTCTTCTTGAAGCATCTCAGGCAGGTAGAAAGCAGACAACTTTTACCTTTCCTTAGAAGTGAGGAAGGAATTTGGAGAGAGGGTAACTAAATCCTGGGCTATACAGTTCTCAAGAGAAACCCAGAGTCAAACTAACAACCACTGCTTAAAACTTTAAGTCTGGTTATGTTTCTAAACCATTGTACTAATCTCACATTGAATCACTTTTTCCTTGAAAGCTCTTATGGAAATAAAAGTGAAAATTGTACAACCAATAGTTCTACAAGTGAAAATCGTGCTTCCTGCTCTTTTTTTCCTCCAACTGTAACAAACGTAGATAATTGCACCATTGAAGTGGAAGCTCAAAATGCAGATGGTGTAATTAAATCTGATATGACATATTGGAACTTAGATGCCATAGGTAAGTGTTATTTGCTATTTTTATATACTCTTTATTGAATGATGACCTCCTATTTTTTAATAAAGGAGTATCTAGACTCAAAAGTAGACTCAAAGCTCATGGGTATAATACGTATGTGTTATGGCTATATAGAAAATTCACCATCTTATTAAAGAAGAAAGGAAGGGAGGGAAGAAGTAAAGGAGGAAAGAATGGAAGAAGGAATGAAGAAAGGAATTAATTAACTGAGAAAAAAGGAATGAGAGATATCTTGCTGGCCATTGATTTCCTCTTGTAGTTTATGCCATCAGTTGTACTCCAAGAAACAAAAGTCTCCCCTGCCTCCTGCCAACATTACTGCTCATAAATGAAAAGAGTAAAATTCTTATTTTTAAAAATGTCTCACTAACTTTTTCAAAGACTCATTTTTTTAACCATTTACTTTTTAAATTATAGCCTTGTTATAATATCATTTGCCTATAAATTCACTATAAATGTAAGATATTTTTCTGGGCTCTCAATCCTATTCCATTGATATATATTTTTGTCTTTAGGCTGTTACCATACTGTGATTACTGTAGCTTTGTAATAAGTTTGAAATTGAGAAAATGAGTCCTCCAACTGTGTACTTTTTCAAGATTGTTTTGTTTCTTGGGTCCCTTGTATTTCCGCATGAAGTTTAGGATTAGCTTGTCAATTTCTGCAGAGAAGTCAGTTGGGATTTTGATAGGGATATTGTCATCTTCATAAATATAAAATCTTCTAATCCATGATCATGAGGTATCTTTCCATTTATCTAGGCCTTCTTTAATATCTTTCATTCATTTATTATAGTTTTTAGTGTACAAGTCTTACACTTCTTTGGTTAAATTTATTCCTAAGTATTTTATTCTTTTTTGATGCTATTGTAAATGGGATTGCTTTCTTTTTTTTTTTTCTGAGACTCACTCCCTTGTCCAGGCTAGAGTGCTGTGGTATCAGCCTAGCTCACAGCAACCTCAAACTCCTGGGCTCAAACAATCCTTCTGCCTCAGCCTTTCGAGTAGCTGGGACTACAGGCATGCACCACCATGCCCAGCTAATTTTTTCTATATATTTTTATATAGTTGGCCAATTAATTTCTTTCTATTTTTAGTAGAGATGAGGTCTTACTCTTGCTCAGGCTGGTTTCGAACTCCTGACCTTGAGCAATCCTCCTGCCTCTGCCTCTCAGAATGCTAGGATTACCTGTGGGGTTTTGTAAATGCTCTTTATAAGTTGAGAAAGTTCTCTTTTATTTATAGTTTGTTGAGTGTTTTCTTATCATGAATAGGTATTGGATTTTGTCACATGCCTTTTCTGTGTCTACTGGGATGATCATGTGTTTTATCCTTTATTAAAATTGTATATTGTTAATACACTGACTAATTTTCATAAGTTAAACAAACCTTGTATTCCTGCAAGAAATCCCACTTGGTTATGGTGTATAATTCTTTTTATATATTGCAGGATTTGGGTTCCCAGTTTTTGTTGAGGATTTTTGCTCCTGTATTCAAAATGGATATTGATCTGTTGTTTTATTTTCTTATGATGTCTTTGAGGGTTTTTTTTCTTTTTTCTTTTTTTTTTTTTGTATCAGTGTAGTACTGGCCTCATACAGTGAGTTGGAAAGTGTTTCCGCTTTTGTTTTGGGGAAGAGTTTATGAAGGGTTAGTATTAATTCTTCTTTAAACTTTTAGTAGACTTCATCAGTGAAGCCATCTAGGCCTGGGCTTTTCTTTGTAGCAAGTTGTTTGGCTTGGTTTCTTTTTAAAACTCTTTTAAAGAACTCCCTTCAGAAGGCTTACCCTACACTGTCAACATTGATGTAAACTCATGGTGATGGACATGGAAGGGGACAAGACTATCCACTTTTTCTTTAAAAACCTATATTATTATTATCTTCACTTTCTTAATATGAGTATATATTACTTTAGCAGTTAAAAATATTAAAAAGTAAATTCAATTACAAAGAAAATTCAAAACAAAATTTTCTAGTCCTTCTTTTAACTAGATCTATTTATATATTCTGTAACTGCCACTGCTTAAAACTTAGAGTGAGGAGGAATTTTGGCCTATTTAGAACAATACCAATTTAGAACAATACCATAGTTATAAAATTGATCTCTGAAGAAACACTGTTTTTCTAATCCATCTCTAGGGCCTGGTAAAGTGTTGCTGAATACTAAGATCTTTTTGGACTCCATTAATGAGATAAGGGAATTTAATAACAGAATAATAATAATAATTTTATAATTAGAACTTTTCTTACTTAAATTCAAGTGGATAGGACTATGTGCTTTAAGAACAAGTGAAACTAGTTTGGTTTCTAACTGAAGAATGCCCCCTCTTTGGTTTACACTGGTAATTTGCTTAAACCGTTTTTCATAGTAATGCTAGGGTTTACTTTGATCTAGCCTCTGACATAAATTATCACAGTTAATGGTATCTAAATAAATTTTGCTGTGTTTCACATTTATCAATTTTTGACTTAAAGTCTATTTTTTCTAATATTAGTATAGCCACCCCTGCTCTCTTACTATTTGCATGGAACATCTTTTTCCATCCTTTTACTTTCAACCTATTTGTGTCGTTAGATCTAACGTTAGTAGACAGCATGTCTACTAACGTTTTGTAGACAGCATGTAGTTGGATCATTAAAAAAAGAATTTATCTACTGATCTATGTCTTTTGATTGGAGAGTTTATAAACCATTTACATTTAAAGTAATTATTGATAAGGAAGGACTTACTTTTGGCATTTTGTTATTTGTTTTCTGTATATTTTATAGCTTTTTTATCCCTCATTTCTTCCATTACTGTCTTCTTTTATGCTTAGTTAATTTTTTGTGGTGACATGTTTTGATTTCCTTCTCATTTCCTTTTGTATATTTTCTATAGATATTTTCTTTGTGGTTACCATGGGTATTACAGATAGCATCTAAATTTATAACACTCTAATTTGAATTAATACCAACTTAACTTCAATCATACATAAAATTCTATTCCTACACAGTTCCATTCTCCCTTCACTTTATGTTACTGATGCCACAAATTACATCTTTATCCATTGTATACCAATTAACATAGAATTAGAATTATTTTTTATGCATTAGTCTTTTAAATTCTTTGAAAAATAAAAAGAGGAGTTATAAACCAAAATTACAGTAATATTAGCTTTTATATTTACTCATGTATTTATCTATACTAGAGATTTTTATATCTTCATCTGGCTTCAAGTTACTGTCTAGTGTCCTTTCACTTCAACCTGAAGGACTCCCTTTAGCATTTCTTGTAGGACAGGCCTTCTGGTAATGAACTCCCTCAGCTTTCATTTATCTGGGAATATCTTAATTTCCCCTCACTTTTGAAGAACTGTTTTGCCAGATATAGAATTCTCAGTGAACAGATTTTTTTCTTTCTGCACTTTAAATATATAATCCCATTGCCTTCTGGCCTCTAACGTTTTTGCTGAGAAATTAGTTAATAATACTATTGAAGATTCCATGTATGTGATGGATTGCATCCCTTTTGCTACTTTCAAAATACCACCTTTGTCTTTCTACAGTTTGGTTGTAATGTGTCTTAATATGGGTCTCCTTGGGTTTATCCTATTTGGGATTTATTAGGATTCTTGGATTTGTAGATTCATGTATGTCATCAAATTTAGGGAGGTTTTGGCCATTATTTCTTCAAATAATCTCTCTGCCCTTTCTCTCCCTCTTCTTTGAAAGACTTCAAAATATGTATGTTGGTCTGCTTGATACTGTTTCACAAGTTCTTTAGGCTCTGCTCACTTTTCCTTATTCTTTTTTCTCTTTATGCTCCTCTTTTTTTCTCTTTATGCTCCTCAGGCTCAATACTTTAAGTTGTACTGTCTTCATGTTTGCTGCTTGTTTCTTCTGCCTGCTCAAATTTACCCATCCAGTGAATTTTTAAATTTTTAGGTATTGTAGATTTTAGCTTCAGAATTTCTGTTTGTTTCCTTTTTATAATTACTATCTCTTTGTTGATATTCTCATTTTGTTCATATACTGTATACCTGATTTCCTTTATTTCTCTGTCCGTGTTTTCTTTTAGCTCTTTGAGCATATTTAAGACAATTGTTTTAAAGTCTTTGTCTAGGAAGGTGGTATCTGGGCTTCCTCAAGGACAGTTTCTGTTGATTTATTTTGTTTATTTAAATTGGGCCATGTTTCCCTGTTTCTTTGTAAGCCTTGTAATTTTTGCTATTGTTGAAAATTGGGCATTTGAAAAAATAGCTACCTCTCCTACTCTTTTCAGAATGGCTCTGTGCTGGGGCAGTGTTTCACACATTAGCTGGGTTTGCTCTGATCCTAGGGAGCAGCCTAAAGTGAAAGTTTGAAGTCTTCTCAGGTCTTTTCTGAGCATGCATCTTGCCTGGGCCTTCTCAATGGTGCTTTCTCAATTATCCTGAATACATAGCTGCTTCTGAATGTCTTAATTTATCAAAGAGTCTCACACAGTTTCCCCTTAGGACTTTGTTATTCTATTCTATGTCTCCATCCATAATCCCTTTCCCCAGATGTCTGTGGGTCTGTAGTCTCCCTGAGGCTTTTATGAGCAGAGCCTGCCACTTTTCCTGCCTGAAATGCAAGTTAGGCAAAACAGAGACTGGTCCTTTAGTCCACACTCAGACTGGTTAGAATGTTGTAAATAAGTTCTTCTCTGCTTTCTCCAGTTGGAGGAAGGAAACTAGGAATTGGGCTGCCACCTTCTCCATACCAAGACCACTCATGTTCCAGGAGAGGGTGGAGCAAGACAGCCACAGAACTTTTTTCCTACCACTTTGAAGGTGACTTTTTCTTTAATAGGTGTTTATAGTTTCTGAAAATCTTGCAGTGATTTCTAGAGCTCCTACAAGATTAGTTCAGCCAGCTTCTGTCTTTTTTTTTTTTTTTTAATTTTTCCATGGGGGTACAAGAACTTGGATCTACTTAGTCTGTCATTTTGCTGATGTCACTCAATATCCATCAGTTCTTAATGAGCTATTCTGAGAGCCATTTTTAAGCAGAGGTAAAATTAATTATTTATGTCTCCTTGATGATAGAGCTATAGAGTTGAATGGAGCTATAACAAGAATTTGTGTTTACTATGAGGTAGTCTAATGTAGTGGTAGGAACTTCGGTATAGATGCAAATGAATCATAGTTTGGCTTTTTATTAGAAAGTTATTTTACCTTCTTAAATCTTAGTTTTGGCCAGATGTGGTGGCTCATGCTTATAATCTCAGCACTGTGGGAAACTGAGGCTGGAGGATTGCTTGAGCCCAGGAATTCAAAACCAGCTTGGGCCACATAGCGAGACCTTGCATCTGCAAAAAAAATATTTTTAAAAACCTCAGCTTTATCTTATATAGAGTGAGTATAATAGATGTTAGGTGGTTTAGAGGAGTCAACAAAATGATTCACCTAAAAAAATAGGTGAATCATTTTGGTATATTTCCTTTCAGGCTTTTTTTCTATGTAATTATTTGCATATCTTTTAAAATAAAATCGATAAATATCAATAAATATCAATAATCTTATGGAAATCCCGAATGTCTGTTGTGTTTAGCTCTACCCACTGAGTGGCCACATAGACTGATGACCACCCTTTAGTTTCAGCATTAAGAACACATTATTTTTTGAGTAGCCATCAGGGGCTTTCTGAATATTTTTACCCAATTAATGTTTTTAAGTCCATAGCTCTAAGTAGAGATTTTGCTCTCCAGAATCTTTCAGGAATTGCAAAGATTAAAAAGATGATACTGTTCAACTCTAGCTAAGCAAGGGTATGGTGAAATGGGTATTTGTCCACTCTTAATGGAAACTGAAATTGGTGTATCCTTTCTGGAAAGCAAAATGGCACTGTATGGCAGAAGTCCTAAAAATGTTCATGCCCTTTTACCGAGTCAGCCTATCCTAAGGAGGTCTAGTGAAAACATCAAAGATGCAGAGAAAGATTCAACTGTGATCTGTTTATTCATCCACTTAATAAATATTTGATACTTGTAAGGTCAAACATTTGTTGATTCTAGACTCTGTGATCAAGACCAGCTTCTGTGCTCAAGAAGCTTTAAACTAAAAATTAGAAAAACTATTAATGTGCAAAATAGAGCAATGATCAAAATAAATTTATTCATCCATAAGGTAGAATATTATGAAGCTTTAAAAAAAAGCTGAAATTAAAAAAAAAAAGAAACTGGAATGGGAAAGTATATATTAATAACTGTATATACCATTTTCTCTAAAAATAAAATCTTTGAGGCAAAAAAATAAAGTTTTGAAGAATTTTTAATAGCAGTGGATATATGCTGATTGCATAATGGTACTTAAAAAAACAAAGGAATTATTTAGCATAATATCGATTTTATTTTAAAAGATATGCAAATAATTACATAGAAAAAAAGCCTGAAAGGAAATGTACCAAAATGTTAATGAGGACTATCTCTGGTTGATGGTATTTTGGATGATTTTAAGTTTTTCTTTGTATTTTTCCATATTTAAAAATTTTTATGTAATAAGTATATGCTACTTTTATAACCAGAAAAATACATATTTTCAAAGAGAGAAATTTGGGGCTAGAATGTTTGCAGTGTGCAAGGAAAATGAGAAGTGCTTTCTAGGTACCTAGGAGTGAAGGAAAGAGAGGCCTAGGGGAGGGTAAATAAGGGAAACAGCCTATTTTCTGGTTCTATGGTCTCTTGTTACCTCCCTTCTGCTTGGCATAGGATATGACCCAATCAATAATAGGCTGATTTGCAGGAAAATCACAGGAATGTGTTCTTTTTATCATTAGGCATTCCTTTTTTTGGAGGTGCTAGGGTGAGGGGTGGCATTCCTTTTGTACTGCCTTGCAAATACCATCTGCATATAGCAGACCACAAAATATGCACTACCATTTTCTTTCTAGACTTATTTTTTCCCCCAGTATTGGGTGGATGCTATAAGGACAGTCTCTTCTTTCTGCAAATATGAGAACTATATGATTTTTATTTTCAGCAAAAACAGAACCACCTGGAATTCTCAGTGTGAAACCAGTTTTGGGTATCAAACGAATGGTTCAAATAAAATGGAAAAGGCCTGAGTTGGCACCTGCTTCATCTAATTTAAAATACACACTTCGATACAGGACAGTCAATAGTACCCGATGGGTAAGTTATGCCATTATAATGTTTCCCATTAGAGGACCCCAGGAAGAGAATCATTGATGACTTTTGTTGACCTGGAATTATTGTTTTCACTTTCTACATTAAAAATAGAAGAGAGACAATACTGGGTGGTTTCCTTCGCAATTTCCCATTTGGACCTTTTAGATTGGAAAAGTGTTCTACCATGGGGATTTGCCTTCTGAGCACAGGGATATATTAAAGAGTGAGAGATTTACTTTTGTATTCCATCCAAGTTTGTGGCTCGGCTATGTTGGCTGCCAGAGATTATGTGGTTTGGCCATTTTATTTTAAATTTTTCCAACCTTTCATAAAATTGTGAAGTATAACTCACATTGAGAAACGTGAACAAAACATAAATATTGCATTTAACAAATTATTATTAAGTCAGTGCTCATGTAAAAACTACTGAGGTCAAGAATAGAACCTTTCCAGTATGCCCCTCCTCCCTTTAGAGCTATTATTCTGATTTTCATGTTAATTAATCTTTGCTTTTTTTTATGGTTTCACTATTTAAGGCTGCATCCCTGAAAAACATAGTTTAAGGGACTCTCTTTCTTTGACACCCAGGATGAAGGAATACCCAGTAGAAATTTATGAGGAACCTATAAATGGAATCCATACATTATGTATTTTTAAATTTTTGGCTTATATCTCTCAATATTGTGCTTTTAGGGCTGAGTACAATGACTTGCGCCTGTAATCCTAGCATTTTGGGAGGCCAAGGTGGAAGGATTGCTTGAGGCCAGTAGTTCAAGACCAGACTGGGCAACATAGTGAGACCCTGTCTATAAAAACAATTTTTAAAAATTAGCTGGGCATAGTGGCATGCATCTATAGTCCTAGCTACTCAGAAGTCTGAGGTAGGAGGATCGTTTAAGCCTGGGAGTTCCAGGTTGCAGTGAGCTGTGATTGTGCTACTGCACTTTAGCCTGGGTGACAGAGCGAGGCCTTGTTTAAAAAACATTATGCTTTTAAGATTTATTCATGTTATATAATGCTATAGTTCATACATTTTCATTGCTGTGTAGTACTCCATTATATAAACACAGTGGAATTTTGACTTTAATTTGCATGTGCCTGACTTTTAATGAGGTTGCATACCTTTTTCATATGTTCATTGGCCATTTGGATTCCTTCTTTGTGAAGTACTGACTTAAGCTTTTTACATATTTTTTTCTATTGGATGGTCTGCTTGATTTTTTAATTGACTTGTAGGCATTCCTTATATATTCTATTTATGAGTCTTTTATTTGTTACATGTGTTGCAAACATCTTTTACTATGTGGTATGTCTTTTCACTCTCTTAATGGTGACTTTTGATGAATAGAACTTCTTAATTTTTATACTGTCAAATTTTATCAGCCTTTTTCTTTTTAATACCTTTTGTGTCTTAAGAAATCTTTTCTTATCTCAAAGTCCAGAAGATATTTCCTATTTCCATCAATTCAGCCTGAAATTATATCACCTTTTTTTGGTAACTATCTCACATTATTGACTCTTAATCAATTACTAGCCAATTAAATCATTAAGAGTCCCCCACACCAAGATTTGCTAGTAAAACTTATCTCCACTACCTTATCATTTGTTGATTTTTAACCCACATTCAGGTGTTTTATTTATTCCTATTGAATTTTTTAACATTGGTCTTATCCATCATTTCAGCCTATTTAGAATCTTTATTTGGTCACCCAAAACTTTTAGTTAACTTTTTACTTTCTAACTTTTCACTATCTTTAGATTTGATAACACTTACTTCTATACCTTTATCTAATTATTGATAAAAAACGGTGACTACATCAGAGCCCTGTGGAAACCAGTAGAGACCATCCAGAGACTCAACCCACTTTCTTTGAGTATGATCATTTATTCAGGCTTCTATGAATATACCTGATGACACTAATTCAGCCTACTTTTTTCATCTTGTCCGGGAGGCTATCATGAGACTCTTTCCTTTTTGGAAACCCATGGACACCATGTCTGTTGCATCCTATCCTAGTCTAGAACTCCTTCAGAAAAGAAAATTGGTTAAGTTTTACTTGTATGTTAGAGAGATGATGTGGGCCACTCCTCCTCTCAGTTCCTTTCTAAGCCAGCTCTGCAACCATTCCCCTTGAACCTGACGACAGGTAACATTAGACTCATTGATTTGTAGTTTGGGGAACCCCTAAGCGGGGTAGTCCCCAGCACAGCACAGCTTCTCTTCCTTCATACCCATGTCATGGTCTCAGTGAACTGAAGGAACTTCTGGAGTGATCTGTGCCTGGGAATCCCTGATCCTTTCTGTTTGTCTGAGCCCAGACTCACCATAGCTGCCGGGGTAGGATTCAACAGGAAAACAAAGCAGGCCCTGCGTCCCCTGGGACGCGTGTACAGCACTGTGGGCAACAAGCACAAACTACTCCAGCTCTCGGCACCCCTTTGACAGACTCACCGCATCTTTGCCACCTTCCTTCCAGTCCCCAAGGTAGGATGTCCTTCCTTCTGTTCTCCTAGGGGACATGGGAAGGAAGGTGGAATGTGCAGCCCAGTACCGCTGTCTCTTTTCAGCTTTCAAAGACAGGCAAGTCTCCTCACCTCTAAACCCAGCTCTTCCCAACCTTCTGTCAGCAGTTCCCACTGTTTGTTAGTTGTTTGTTGGTGTTTTTTTTTGACACAGAGCCTTGCTATGTTGCCTGGGCTACAGTGCCATGGCGTCTGCCTAGCTCACAGCAACCTCAAACTCCAGGGCTCAAGCAATCCTCCTGCCTCAGCCTCCCAAGTAGCTGGGACTACAGGTGCATGTCACCACACCCAGCTAGTTTTTCTATTTTTGGTAGAGACGGGGTCTCGCTCTTGCCCAGGCTGGTCTCAAACTCCTGAACTCAAGAAATCCTCCTGCCTCAGCCTCCCAGAGTGCTAGGATTATAGTTGTGAGCCACTGCGCCCAACCAGGTTCCCACTATTGATGGAAGGAGGTTCAGGTCCTTAACCCTCTGAGACCTGGAACTCACAACCCCTTCAAGCTCATCTCTCACCTTGCTGTTGCCTCTATGATAATTCTGAATTGCTTGTTTCCCCTGCATCATGTTGTCTTAGTATTCTGTGCCTCTCTGTAGAACATCCTCTGCTTTTGCACCTCTACTCCTGCCCCAATCTATTCATCTTTCAGAACTCGGGTCTGGCTTATTTCTTCTGAGAGCCAGAGCCTGGTGTCCCTTCTCTGCATGCCTCACCTCTGTCATTGCACTTAACAATTAATAGGTTTAAATTTCTCTCTCTTCCAATTAGACTGTAAGTTCTTCAAATGCGGGGACCTTGATTTTCATCTTTGTTTTCCCTTTGCCTGGCACATGCCTGTGCTCAATAAATGTTTGTTTAAGCTAAGCTATGCGAAAGTAATCCTGAAATCCCAAAACGTCCTTATAACAAGACCCACATTTGTATGAGATGAATTGTGAAGTGCTTCCTTACCCTCCAAATTATGTAAGCCTAGCAAATATCCTATAAATGAGGCCTTACTAGCCACATTTTTGCAGACTAGGAAATTGAGATGTGGCCAGCTTAAATGATCTATCCACGATCATAAGGTTTGTGAGTTGCAAACCTAAGCCCATGTTTTCTGACTCCAAGTTTGTCATTCATGTGACCGTACGTCAGTGCCTCCAAGTCTTCCCCTGGTCCTAGTCTAAAGGGCTTGCACCTTTACATAACGAAACCACGTGAACATCCTGGAAAGGGATCTCAAGACTGTTTTACAAGTTTGATTTAGGCTTTGCACCAAAACTTCTGACTCATTTCTTAAGACAAACACTTTGGCTTAGTTAGGATTTGGCACAAAGTATAGATTATAGAAGCAAACCTGATGAAACTAATTAATGTGTTGTTATGGTTCCATCGCCTGTGTTGAGTTGTGAAAGGTTTAGCTCTAAGCCTATATATAAAGGATCAGTTGATCCTGGACCCTTTGAGGGCCAAAGGCACCTCAGCTAGATAAAAAGCCAAGGTAAAGGGAGCCTTAAAGGCAGATTGTTTGAAAGACTGAACAGCTTTTTTGTTTCCCATGAGGCTGGGACTGGGAAGAACAGGCTCTTGCGGCCCCAGTAAGCAGAGCTCTTTGGTGGTTCTCAAACCACCAAGCAGGCTAAGCATGTGCTAAGAGTAAGAGCAAAGCAGGAGGAAAAATTAGAAAGATTCTTTAAAAAATCATATATTTTTAAAAGCATGAAAAGTGAAAGACAGCATTATTAGGCTTCCTTACACTTGATGTTTGGATTAGTATTATTATGTTGAGTTACATATGGAGAGCACCATGTGATTGGGCCTCTCCTAATGGCTTTATTCTGTTCCAGCTGGACCCCATAATGACAGACTGTCCCAAGTTATGCTCCCCACAACCCTGTCTGGTGCCACAGCCTCTCCAGGGGTGGTTTGAAGAGGATGCTCGGGGGGAACCAGGGATTCAGCCGCAACACCGTTGTCACCTCTCCTTGCTCCGCCCCATCGCACTAGGCTCGGGGTTCGGAAGTGTCCATCTGTTAGCTGGGAGGCTCAGCTTTCTGCCACAGACACAGGCCCTCCTTTTGCCCAGTTTCCTTTAGGCTCAGGAGCTGTAATTAGGTACTCATTTTCACAGCTTTTACACAGATGTAAGAAATATCAGGACTTCCTTCTCCTGCAGTGTTCCATGGGACTCTGCTGTGTGCAAACTAGCAAAATGGACATGCCTGTGAGTGCAGTTTATTTTTTATCAGCTCCATACACGTTTTATAAGCCAATGGCTAAAAGTTTATATTACAGCAATGACTGTGCTTAGAAAAGAATAGCTAAATTTTTAGTTTCTCTTAGAGGGCTGGGTCCAGGAGGGACTTTAGAAATTATATAAAGCAACTCCTTCGTTTTACTAATGAGAAACTGACCTCAAGAGAAGAGAACTGATTTATTTATATCTCCCTTCCCCAAGAGAGTGTCAAAGTGAATTTATACATCCAGGCTGTTGAGACTTTCAGTAGCTTGACTGACTGGTCACCCAAAGATCAACAGTTTGAAAGGAGAGATTTGCACAAAGGGAAAGAGCCTAGGAGTAAAGAAATCTGTGTTCTGGTCTTAGTTCTACTAATTCCTAGTTTAACTTTCATTTAATTGGTCATTGAACTTTCCTGGGTGTTGGTCATGACATGAGGATTGAGTTTGATGCAGCTAAGGTCTCTGTCCCCTGCCATTCTATGAGCCTGTAGTTCTAGGTGTTGGGTCACCTCCTAGGCCCAGGTTGCCCCAGGTCACGGGGCTCTGCCTTGCATCTTGCAGAACAGCAAGCGGCAGGGCTCCGTTCACTCAGACCAGCCCAGAGGCAGGAATCTCTACTTAGGAATCCTTATTTATGAAAATTATGTATTTAATATTTTAAAATTTGAGATAGAGTGTTACTAGTTCTGAAAAGGTAAGAGAGCATTAGACAGTGAAAGGAAAATGGAACGAATGATAACATGTGCTGTCTCCATTTCCACTGCGGGCTGTCTCTGTCTTGTAGATGGAAGTCAACTTCACTGATGACTGTTCCAATACAGACCAAACCTACAACCTCACAGGGCTGCAGGCTTTTACGGAATATGTCATAGCTCTGCGGTGTGTGGCCGAAGAGTCAAGCTTCTGGAGCGCCTGGAGCCAGGAAGAAATGGGAACGAGTGAGGAGGAAGGCAAGCTTCTCCCTGTCATTTCTCTTCTGCCTGCTCTGGTGTAGGGCTGCCGGGCTAGATTGGCGGGCTTTGTCAAGTGCCCCAGTGGGGAATCATGGGCCTGGGGAGTGTTCACTGTGCCCACCTGAGCCCCTGGCTGGGAGCCTGCACTGTTCTGCTGGTGCTCAGTACCTGAGCAGCTTTGTGCCCCAAAGACAAAGGATTGTATCTTTAATACTCTTGTATGGTTCTTATATTAATACTATGCATGAAGTAGTATCATATCACTTAAATGCATCCTATGATAAATTAAAGATATATATTGTAAACCCTGGAAATACTACTCAAAAAATAAAGGTGTAACTAATGAAAGGGGGAAAAAGGTCATATCTTTAGTGACATTGAGAAGGAAAGAGACAGGGACTGCACATTGAGCACTTACTATGAGTCATGTATGGCCAATAAGAACAATGCTTCTGGCCAGCAGGCTTGGCTAAAATCCCAACCGAGCCCTGCAATGACTTTGGGCAAGATACCTAATTTGTAAGTCTACTCTAAGCCATTTCCTCACTATTTATTCCTCTTTTCCATATTGAAATATAATTTATAAATTGAATTTATAGTAGTACCTCCTTTTTAGTGTTAAAGAGTAAATGAGGCCGGGCGCGGTGGCTCACGCTTGTAATCCTAGCACTCTGGGAGGCCGAGGCGGGCGGATTGCTCAAGGTCAGGAGTTCAAAACCAGCCTGAGCGAGACCCTGTCTCTACTATAAAAAAAAATAGAAAGAAATTAATTGGCCAACTAATATATATATATATAAATTAGCCGGGCATGGTGGCACGTGCCTGTAGTCCCAGCTACTTGGGAGGCTGAGGCAGGAGGATTGCTTAAGCCCAGGAGTTTGAGGTTGCTGTGAGCTAGGCTGATGCCACGGCACTCACTCTAGCCTGGGCAACAAAGCCAGACTCTGTCTCAAAAAAAAAAAAAAAAAAAAAAATAAATGAAATAATGTATGTAGTAAATATTCACTAAATGCTAGATTTCATATTCTCATTACTTATCCTATTATTCTTATTAATCCTCCTAGGAGCCCTGTAAAATATGTAGTCACTCCCATTTTGGAGGTGAGGGAGTTGAGTTTCAGAGATGTCAATAAATGAATGGCTTGGGTCATTCGCATGTGTTATTGTTCTTGAGACCCTTGCCCAGTGCCTGACCCCCACTAGATGATCAATAAATGATGAATGTATTAGTTTCCTATTGTTGCTGTAGCAAATTACCACAAATTTAGTGGCTTAAAGTAACACAGATTTATTCTCATGGTTCTGGAAGTCAGAAGTTAAAATCAGTTTCACTGGGCTAAAGTCAAGGTATCAGCAGGGTTGTTTCCTTTTGGAGACTCTCAGTGGAGAATGTTTCCTTGCCTTTTCCAGCTTCTAGTGGTGGCCTGTATTCTTTGGCTTGTGGCTCCTTCCTCTAGCTACAAAGCTTATAATTCCATCATCACATTACCTTTTGTCTCCATTTCTGTGTCAAATCTCTCTACCTCCTTCTTATAGGACCTTTGGATCACATTTAGGGCCCACTTGGATAATCCAGGATACTATCCCCATTTTCCCTGTAAGAAAACATTTGTAGGTTCTAGGGATTAGGACCTAGATAACTTTGAGGGTCATTTTTCAGCCTAACACAATGAATGAATGATTCATTAGATGACTACTCGGTGATAATCTACATATCGTCTTCTGAATTATGGAAAAGGATTACAAAAATGCCCATCCTTCTAACTTTCCTCTGGGGCTTTCATCTTATTTATTTGTGAAGTATAGGTTTTAGAACACGAATCCCCCCATGCTCATGATTTCAGGCCACATGATTTCAGGCGGTTGTGGGGATACTCATAGTGTAATAGAAAATCAGATTTCAGTCTCATACCCAAGTCCCACATTGGTGTCACGGAACTTCTGAGGTCAGCCTCTGTGCTTCCTGCTCTGCATGATAATTTATTCCTCTGGATCCTGGTTGAGTTTCCCACAAGACTAAGTATTGACAGATGTTTGGTGTGTTCACTCCTATAGTCCGATGTCTGGAACCAATTTGATGCCTTCTGAATTTTGTATTCCCCACTGGGGATGTTTGTGTGGGACCACGGAGCAAATGGTCCTCTTCCTTTGCCTGCCTTTCAGCAGGTAGTCTGGGGACTAAGTGCTGCCTCAGGTGTGATGGCGCTTTGCCCAGATCTTCTCCCCTCTATGGCTGTCACACTCTTCTCTCCTGGTGCCATTATGGCTCAGAGCCTCAAGCCCACTCAGCTCATCACAGTGTAGCCACTCCCTGATGTCAGTCCTCAACTTGTTTTGCTGCCAGGAACAAGATTTGCTAACTGATTTATTAGTTCAGCCAGCTTGATGAATTAGTAAACACCAAGACACTGGTGTTCTCTGTGTACTTTTCTAATTAAAGTCAATCAATACTTATTTGTCAAAGTCACCACTAGAGAATTTTTGCTTTTGTTTTTCTTCATTTTTTCAGGATCCCAGAGGAAATTGATGAAAGTGCACTCCCAACTCCCAGCAAATCCTAATTTCTTCTTCCTAGTCATAAGCCATTTGTTTTGCCATTTCAGTGAAATGCCAGTTGTTTAATGCATACCACCTCAAACCTTTCTAATTGTTTGAAAACGTATTCTAAGTTGAATGTGAAGCTCTACCTATTTTCTTTTGGATTTCAAACATATTGATTATTAGAGTTATTTACCTACATTTAGGCATTTGAATATCTACTTACTACATGATGAAGATATAATTTGATTCAAATCCTGGCTTTATTGTTTAAAAGCTTATGATATTGGACAGTTGCTTAATTTCTCTGGGCTTCAGAAATAGGAACAATAATATTGCTATAAATAACTACAGGGCAGTAGGAATTAAACAAAATAATTCAGTAATTCACTTGCTTAAAGTTAGCTGTTATTATTGTTGGTTTTTAACAAGGGTACCAGTATGTGTCTGACTGGTAGTTGTTGTGGGGAAACCTATATTGTAATAGAAACAGTATAGCATCATATTGTAACTATACCAATCCAGACAATTGATGCCTTTGAATATGTGGATATTTTGGTTGATTTGTAAAACTATAATTTTGTCTTTTAAACAAATACAGAGTTATTACTTTTCATCCTTGGATTAAACTGAAAATCCATTATAAACTCATGGTTAATGGAAAGTTGGCTGTAATAATTGTAGAAGATTTACATATTAGTCAGACAATGGTTTTACTAAAAGCTGCATTTGTGGAAAGTCTGTATTGGGAAGACTATTTCTCTTTGGACAATAACTGCAGGAACTAGTGGCCCCAATGAAAGGGGAAAATACCCAATTAAACTCAATTCATTATTACCATCTACTAAAACTAAATGGGTGGCTATAGGCTAAATCTAACGAGAATTTCACTCAATTTCTGGTCTAGTACCTGCGATGGTTATTTAATAATCAGTTTAATTTTGCCTATATCTGTCTTTGAGGTGAATATTTAGGACTGGATAGGAATGAACGCTTTGTCTTTAGTTTTTTTTTTTTTTACTCTCAAAATTATTAACCCTGAATTTGACTTTCCACGTGACTGGAACAGAGAGATTCTGCAAGTTAGAGACAGAGTAAGAATCCCTCTAATTCTGTGGGTTACCTTTGAAGTTCTAATGACTATCACCCTCTGCTAAGGCTGCCTTCTGGAAGGAACTTTGCCACTGCTTACACCTCGCTGAAACCAGCCTGCTGTTCCCTGTGTGAGAAAGTTGAGGACTGGCTGTCCTGTCTTCTGATCCAATAAAAACCTTTGGGAATTCAGAAAACTCCTGGCAGAGCTTTTAAGACACACCTCAGTGGGATTCCGATGAGGTCATATTTAAAGTCTAAATAGTTCCAATATCTGTATAAGCAATTTAAATGGAATTACAATAGGTCTCATTGAGAGACCCTGGGCCTAACAGCCAGACTGTGTGAATCACACTTCGGCTTCTGCAAGAGCAGTTGTAGAAACTCTCCATTGATGACAAAACAAGGTATTGACTTAACTGCCCTTTGGTACATTTTCCTACATTATAAGCTTGTCTTTAGTTGAAGTTCAGTAATTTCACTGAATTCACCTAAAGTTAAAAAGATTCTCTGAAGACAATTTCTCAGTACTAAAATAGTTTAGGTCTTGGCCTGAATGGTAGACCCCATTTTTTTGTGGACCTGTTTACATTTTCTCCAGCTGTATGACTTCCTTGAGAAAGAATTCAGAATGCAACAACTACATCTTTGATTAGGGACAGTGACTCTCTCCTCCAAATTGCTGGCCACTAGCCTTCTGGACAGTTCTCTGTGCTTTCCTCTCTTGGTTAAAGTGTGTGGGTCATTCTTGAATCAGCATCTTAGCATTTTGGCATTTCAGGCGCATGCCAAGACATTCTCTATAAATTGCCAGTGACCCATCCCTTACCAAAACTTGCTTGAGACATATTTGAGGTACATAGTTCAGAGATCAAGTGAAATGTAAATTCCTTGTTTTGTGAATTTTATCCCTGCATGGTTAGATCATCAGAAGCTTGTACACTTGTACAATGTTGTCTTAGACTATATTGTTTACTGGAGAAAGCTATAAGCCAGGATTTGTGCCTGGCATTTTATAGAAAACAACCACAACAAATGTATGTATATGATATTTCTGTGCTTTTGCTCAACTGGGATTGCAGACATTAGCCTTTATGTTACCCTGTGTCCTTTTTGAAAGGATCCGCATAATAATTTCCATTTATGAATTCAGTGGTCATAGCCAGAAAATAATTACTTCTTCATATGAATGTGATTCTTTTTTATTCTTCCTGCGGGGAAGACCAGCATTAAATTTAGAGTTCAGGGAGGGACCTAGTGAGGGTGATTTGTCTGTTCTTATCTTATTTAGTTTTTTCTTATATTTTATTTTATTTTTATTTTATAACATTCTAAATATGAAGTTTCATTTTTTTGGAAGCAGAGATGGTGTAAATTACATAAATATATATCCTTGTCACTTATCTGTGTCAGTCCCAGCTTTAATGTAGATAGATGTTAGATCTAGAGAACATGAAATGGTCACATTTTGATCCAGATTTGGGTGACAAATTATACAGGGTGTCCCAAAGGTCTCCAAAGGAAAAATTTTGTAAATAAAGACACATTTAGCTACAATTTTCCCATTTCCCTGTGTATGGTGATTTTGGGACACCTTGTATTACAGTGGGCTTGCTTATACTTTTCTTATACCTTACATTAAGTTGTAAGCCCCAAGAGAAGTTGATTCTAGTCCTCCCACCACAAAATGAAGATGTCACTGGTCATTGCAAGGCTGCCACCCTCCACTCTCCACCTTACTCCTTCGGGCTCCCTGGGGGACATCCTTCCCAACCGCCCCGCTCCCTTCCCCATCTCCTGTTGCGACTCCATGTGTGTTGAGCACCTCACTCTTGTTTCTTACAGCTCCATATGGCCTGGATGTGTGGAGAATCTTGAGACCAGCTGAGGCCGATGGAAGGAGGCCAGTGTGGTTGCTGTGGAAGGTGACCACCCTCTGGGTTATTTATTTATTTTTTCCTGGTTAAAGACCCTTGGTCTCTTATGCCCCCAAAAACTGTGATTCTTAAAATTTTAACTCCTGTATTTCCCTCCCCAGAGGGATTTATGATGCCCCAAATCTCACAATGGTTGCCCAGCTCAGAAAAGCCGCATAGGTCATCTTGCAGATGGCCCAAATGTGCATTACAGACCCTGATCCCCTGTCTTCTTTGGTCAGAAACATTAACATTTGGGGCATGTACAAAGTGCAAATGTAGGAGGCACCATGACCTTCTGGAGGAAACTGTCATGGGCTGGCCTCCACTGGAAGGCAATGGAAGTCTCTGTAGTCCCACCCTACGTCTGAGAAGAGCACTGACCAAATAGGTCAGCTTGCCAGTGTGTCCTTAGGTCATTGTCAACATATGTTCCATTTGTTTTGTGATAGTGGGGTGCAATGACAAAAGAGGGACCAAATGGTCCTTTCTAGGAGGGAGGAACAAGGACAAGGCAGGTAGGTAATGCCGAGAAGAGGAGAAAGGAAGAGGAGATCAGAGAAGAAAATGGGCAAAGGAACAGAAAAGGAGGGCAAGAGGGAACAAACAGGAAAAGAAAAGGAAAATAGAAAACCCACAAGAAATAGGAGCGACAAGCTGGGGAAGAAAAGCAAGAGGAGAGGAGCCAGAGGACAAAACTCTTAGCATGTCTCCAGAATCCTCAGGTGCTCACCATGCTGTCTTTTACTTGCTGAAGTCCAGGCAGGTTCAGAATCCTTTTGAAAGTGGAGAAATTGCCCTGCTTTGCCAGATGACATTCCAATCCCAAATGCTGCAGTGCTGGAGCATGCTCCCACCTTTGCCCCTTGCTGCCCACCCCAGGGCTGTGGGACAGCCTCCAGTTCAGAGGCCACAGAAAGGGAAAGCACAGCCAGTGGTGTTGGGAAATCTTTGAGAATCAATTCCACATGCTGTGGTTTCTTTGTTAGTTATCAAGTATGAAAACAGATGATGCTGTCAACACGTTTTTGGGGGAAGAAAGCAAACTGACACACACCCACATGTGGTCTTCGCTACACAGCAGTGGGTACGGGTGAAGTAGGCCAACCTATGGAGTGGGGAGATCATTTCCTGCCTTCCTCCTTCTCCCCCTCGCTTTGGAATTGGTCTCTTTTTTGACTCATGTGGAGAGAGTTTTCTAAGAATTTGAGTTGGTTAAAAAACAATGTACTAAATTGTTCCAAAATTAGGTAGTGGTAATGATTGCACCACTCTATGAATATACTTTAAATTCACAATACATTGAATTCACTTTAAAACAGTGATTCTTTTTTATCTTTTTGAGATAGGGTCTGGCTCTGTCACCCAAGCTGGAGTGCAGTGACCCAATCATAGTTCACTGCAGCCTCAAACTCCTGGGCTCCAGTGATCCTCCTGCTTCAGCCTCCCAAGTAGCTGGGACTGCAGGCATGCGCCACCTCGGCTAGCTAATTTTTCTTATTTTTTGTAGAGACAGGGTCTCTCTATGTTGCTCAACACAGGCCAGGATCTCAAACTCCTGGCCTCAAATAATCCTCCAGCCTTGACCTCCCGAAATACTGGAATGATAGGCATGAGCTACCTCAGCTAAAACAGTGAATTTTATGGAATGTGAATTACATCTCAATAAAGCTGTTACTTAAAAGACAGTGTGGGTTGTCTTGAGAGTTAAAAGGCTCCCAGAGGCCAGTGCGGTGGCTCATGCCTGTAATCCTAGCACTCTGGGAGGCCAAGGCGGGTGGATTGCTTGAGGTCAGGAGTCGAAACCAGCCTGAGCAAGAGCGAGACCCAGTCTCTACTATAAATAGAAAAAAATTAATTGGCCAACTAATATAGAGAGAAAAAATTAAAATAAAATAAAATTAAAAGGAAGATTAAAGAAAAATTAGGAAGATTCTAGCTGATCTTTTTTGTCAGGGTCAGTGGCATACAGGAAATTTCTGATCTGGGAAGGCAATGGGACAACGTGACTTTGTGACTTCTGAAGTCCTAGCTGACCTGGTCATTCTGCTCCATCTCTGTGTGTAATCAATAACAGAAAACTAACAACTGAGAAGCCCTATAATTTCTGGGGAATACTCAGCTTGCTGACTTCTAGGCAGAACATCTGGTAGTGGGGCCAAGTTCAAGGTTGAAAATAAGAGTTTGGTTTAAAGCTCCAGGAGTTCCACCTTAAGCTTCTCACCACGGCTTTGGGACTGGTAGGGCAGCCCTGAATGTTCTAGTTCTCTTAGCTGCTAAGCCTGGCTAGGTGCCTGGTCCAGGGAAGCTGGCTCCCTCCCCAGAGGGGCAGGTGTGGTGATAAAAGACAAGGGCATAAGAACTTTCCAATTCTTGGACACTAGGGCAAGAGATGACCCAAGGCCAGACCAGATTTGGGATATGCTCAGAGGCTTGGCTTTTTAGCTTTTACTTCTTTATACATGTGGGATGGAGAGAAAGATATAGTCAGAAGGAAATGAAGGTGGCTTGCTTTCATTGGCTTGGGCATTCTCCTAGGTTAGCCTCATGGAATTAAACCTATGTTAAGGATTGATACCACCAAGTTACCATTTAGTAAATCCCATCTTTTGGCACTTAAAGAGTTACTCTCCCAGCCCAGGTTTTGTTATTCATCCCTAGAGAGTAACTACCTAATTGTAGTTTAGCGCCTGATAGTTAACATGATCTCCCTCCCCCAACCCCACCACTTAATCGCTGTCTCAGTGTCTTTCTTTTTTTGTTGTTTCCTTGGGGTTTAGAATGCAAGAGGAGCCCCAGTCCTGGAGAACACGCTTGGCTACAACATACGGTACTTTCCAGAAAACAACACTAACCTCACAGAGGCAGTGAACACCACTAACCGGCAGCTTGAACTGCATCTGGGAGGCGAGACCTATTTGGTGTCTGTGATTTCATATAATTCTCTTGGCGAGTCTCCAGTAGCGACTCTGAGAATTCCGGCTCTTCATGAAAAGTGTAAGTAGAGTGTCAACTTCTTACATAGGTCCCTGGCCCCATCCACTGGCCAAGGAGCAGTCCCTATCCTCTCAAAGGCAGTCGATTCTCTTGAGTCAAAATGCAAATGGAATGGGGACCCTGTAGGTTGCGGTGAGGAAATCAGAATCCACTGGTAATTAACGAGCCACTTGAAATAAAGTGCCCTTGGAACAAAGCCCGTGTTAAAAATCAGAGACTTTATAAATCACATAATGCAAAGTCATAAACCTAGAAGTTCTATGTGCAGCTTTTATTTGTTCTGGTCTGAGTGAATGTGAGCTGGCTGCATAAAACTGTCACATTTGTCACATTTGTCCCCAGTGACTGAAGACTTTCTTGAACTCTCCCCCATACAGAGGTCCCCAGCCTTGGCTTAATTCTCACTTTCCTGTTTTCTTCCTTTTCCCCCTTCCATTTGACTAAGGAAAAATTCTAATGTTTATGTTTGCCAATAAATTGCTCATTACACTTTTTGGTTATATTAGTTTTTAACATTACTGCTCCCAGACAAACTCATATTTTGTATCCTGTTTTGGAATAAAATACCTTCTTTGACTCTCATTCAAAGAATTGTAGGCCATAGATTTCCTCTTCTCTGCTTTATTTTTCTCTGTGGAACTTAGTACTGTCCCTTAGTCTATGTATTTTCTCCTTTATTTTATTACCTTTCTCTCCCTAAATAGGATGCAAGTTGCACGAGGGCAAGGATTTTTGTCTGTTTTTTTTTTTTCTTTTGGTTTTTAACCTGATTTCCTACACCTAAAATAGCATAGAGCAGTTGGCATGGAGCAGGCGCTCAGCAACTATTTGTCGAAACAAATAGTTAGGAATGTTCTCTCCGGTTTGCCACCTCCGCTCTGTTTGCTCAGACCCACTCTGCCTGTGCTCCCTTCCTTCTCTTCTCCTTAAACTTAACCCACTTCATCGGGATACACCTTCTTTGTTAAAGAAGTGCTGTTGAATAGTGACCTAGTGTGGCCCCAGAATGGGAGGCTGTAGAGAGTAGGGGATAAAAGCATGGGCTTTGGAGCCCAGCAGCCCTGGGTTCAAATCTTGACTCTTCCACAAGATACCATTAACCTTGGGCAAATTACCTAACCTCTCTAAACCTTAGCTGCTTATAAAATGGAGCTATTATATAATATTAATAATACCTACCTCATCATAGAGCTATTGTGAGGAATAAATAAGATTGTTTATGTAAAATGTTTTTTGTCTAGTGCTGATTGTTACCGTTGTCATTGTTAAAAAAATTTCTGATAAATTTCCACTGGATATGGATTATCAACTTTAAAAACACTACAAAAATATCTTAACTAAAATTGTGCTAAATTCGCTTAGGTTTTTTTCTGGCTTTGCGTCAGAATCATTAGCATGATCATCAATTATAATGTCCTAGACCAGATGTTGGCAAGCTACAGCTTGCAGGCCAGATCTGGTCTGACACCTGTGTTTGTAAATGAGGCTCTATTGGAACCCAGACGCACCTGTTGGTTTTCACATTGTCTATGACTTCTTTTGGGCTTCAGTGGCAGAACTGAGTAGTTGGAGCAGAGACCATCTAGCCCACAAACCCTAAAACATTGACTATCTGGCTCTTCCCAGAGAAAGTTTACAGACCTCTGTCCTAGCCACATAAGAAAGTAACATTCTACAGAATTTTGTTTAATAAGGTGGAGGCAACTAGAAAATAGTTATAATAATTATTTTTGTAAGTGTAACTAGCATTAAGTATAATTATCACATAGTTTCCATTAGTATATTACAGGCATTGTGCTAAGGCATCATAGGTTATCTCATTTCAGCCGTGAAATGACTGATGATATATGTACGGTTAGGTCCGTTGCAGAGATGATGAACAGATTCAGGAAAGCTTAGTAATTTGCCCAAGGTCTTTCAGGTGGGATTCCAGCTCAGGTCTGCATGATTCCAAACTTGTACAATATACTTTGTCCAGAATCTTGGCCTTGGTATTAATAAAGTGACTTGTAATTCTGGTCACAGATACTGTGTGATGCTGAACTGGTTGGAGCTCTGTGGGCCTCCATACTCTCCTCTTTCGCATAAGGGGTAAAATCAGGTCTCTTCTGCCTGAACATCCTCTGTGTTCTGTGGGACCTTGGCCAGCAGGCAGCTGTGGGAAAAGCACAGCCACTGTGTGGTCAGGGGCCCAAGGAGGACGTCAGAATTGAGTCAGGGCAGGGGTCAGGTAGGGCCAGGACAACTGGTGTAGGGGAGGCACTGCCAGCCCCTGAGAACAGATTCAGAAGCTATGGAGTAACTGTTGTCATGCAAATCACAAGAAATTCATGGTCTTCACTGCCAAAGCTCCTTCCCTGTTTTCCAAGGAAGGATCCTTAGTAATTAACCTCTTTTAGTAATTTTTTTTTTTTTTTTGAGACAGAGTCTCACTCTGTTGCCCAAGCTAGAGTGCGGTGGCATCAGCCTAGCTCACAGCAACCTCAGACTCCTGAGCTCAAGCAATCCTCCTGCCTCAGCCTCCCAAGTAGCTGGGACTACAGGCATGTGCCACCATGCCTGGCTAATTTTTTTATATATATATATATATATATTTTTTTTTTTTTAGTTAGCCAATTAATTGCTGTCTATTTTTAGTAAAGACCAGGTCTCGCTCTTGCTCAGGCTGGTCTCGAACTCCTGAGCTCAATGATCCACCCACCTCGGCATCCCAGAGTGCTAGGATTACAGGCGTGAGCCACCGCCACCGTGCCCGGCCTCTCTTAGTAATTAACCTACCACACCTGGGGATGTGTTGTATTAGGAGTAATTGCTCAAAAAGTTCTTGTTGAATGATGCAAGGACCCAGCAATTAGTTTATGTTCAGTAGAGTGATTGTTTGGAAACTTCTCTTTCAGCACTGCTGGACGTTGCCAGGCCTTTTCCCCTTTCAAGGTTGGCTCTTGGCTTCATGGGACCTTTTCCACATCCCTGTGGCTTCCTCAATCTCTGTAGCACACTTGGCACTTTAGACCCATCTCCTCCTGCTCCTCAGAGCCCCAGTGAGGAGAAGGAGCATGAGATTAGAACCAGCCCTCGCTCATCTTCAGTTCCGGATTTGTGGGCAAGTCATTTATTGAGAAAGTGCCTCCAGGAAGCCCAGAAAAGGAAGCAGGCCAGGAAGAGGGAGGCCACTGAGCCAAAGGTGCTATCTGATTTTCCTAGGGCTGCTGACAAAGTACCACAGACTGCCAGCCTTGAAATAACAGAAGTTCATTGTCTCGTGGTTCTGGAGGCCAGAAGTCCACGATCAAGGTGTTGGCTGGGCCACGCCCCCGTTAAAGTCCCTAGGGAAGGATCCTTCCTTACCTCTCTTCCTGCTTCTTGTGGCAGCTCCAGTAACGCCAAAAATGCCACTCTCTGCCTTGGTCTTCACATGCCCAGCTTCCTGTGTGTCTCTATTTCTGCATCCAAATTCCTTTTTTTTAAGACATAGGGTGTCTCACTCTGTTACGTAGACTGGAGTGCAGTGGTGCAATCTTAGTTCACTATAATCTCAAATTCCTGGGCTCAAGCGATCTTCCCACCTCAGCTTCCTGAGTAGCTAGGACTACAGGTGTGTGCCACCATACCTGGCTAATTCTTTTTAAATATTTTTTGTAGAGATGGGGTCTCACTATGTTGCCCAGGTTGGTCTCAAACTCCTGGCCTCAAGTGATCCTCTTGCCTTGGCCTCCCAAAGTACTGGGATCACAAGCATAAGCCACCATGCTCAGCCAAATTCCTCTTTTCTTATAAGGACACCAGTCATATTGGGTTAAGGGCCTACCATCTTAACTGATTAAATCTGCAGTGGCCCTATTTCCAAATAAGGTCACATTCGGTGGTACTGGGGATATCTTTTTTGAGGGACACAATTCAACCCGTAACAGGTGCAATCTGAGATAAAAGTCCCCGGTAGGGTGGTTTCTACCAGATCCCGCAGCAGGACTGTGGAGTGTAAGTGACATCTCAAAGTTATCCCAACCAGGTGACACGCACAAACAGTAAGAAGGAATGTGAGAGAGTCGGGAGGAGCACTGACATTGCTTGCTGAAACAGTCTAGGGAAGGCTGCAAATGCTCCAGCAATGACTTTCACCCCCGACTGGCTGAGGATGATTCGGGGCTGTGAGCAGGAGGGCGGGAGGAGGGAGCTGGAGCCCTGGGGAGGAGGCGGGGTTGACATCCAGGCCCTGTGCTCCTGGCCCTGGCCCCTGCCCCTCCTCTGGCTTCACATTTCCTTCATGCCTCAGTTGCCCTTTCTCAGAGCCACCTTTTTAGGTTAACTAACTACCTGGCCTTCCTTGTAGGACTAGCAAGCAACTGGCGTGTTGCATAAAGGCCTAGTTTGGGAAAAGGATCCATAAACTGTGGCTTATGAGACAAGACTCCTAAATATGCGCCCAGCCTGCTGGGGCTTGTTGCTGAGGAGGATGCAAGACCTCCAGTCCCCACTGCAAATTCCTACATTGGCCTAGGCTTCCAGCTTCAAAAGGCTTTTTGGTTGGGTTTTTTCTTTTCACTTTTCTTTCTTTCTTTTTTTTTTTTTTAACAGGACACTCTTCTGCTCTCATCAGGACTGTCTTTGATGTTCATTGCAACATACTTCCTGTGGGTTCTGGTTTTGGAGGCTGAGGTGCTGAGGGTGCTGAGGAGTGGGTTTGGGGGGAGAAGCCACACCCCGTAATCTCTGAGCCTGGCTGGCCTTGTGCCTCTCTCTCTGCCTCACGGCACCTCCAAATAGGTCTCCTTTCTTCTTGTGTGTTCAGAACATTTTCAATAAGATAGTGCTCTGATTCTGATTAAATCCTGGATATTGGATCTGAAATCACACTATTAAAGGAATCCTTGTGTCCTGTTCCCAGAGATGAGTTTTTGGCTGGTCCTACAGAAAATGTTGCCAATTACGTATTTACATACTGATCCATGTCCAGGGACTTTGGATGGGTGTGCCTTTATCTTTCTGGTGCAGACACAATTCTTGCTGCCTCAAGGATAGGAATCCATATCCCATATTAGTAGGGTTACCCTATATAGTTAAAGTGTGAAGCCATCTCCCTGCTGTGACTTTAGGGTCACCATCTCCCATCTTCCCAGCCACACAATTACTAGTGCCTGAAATTCCACCTTTGGAGATTTATTCTCCATCTCAGATTTGTTTTCTTTTTGACTTGCAGAAACACCTTTAGAAGGTAAGTATTTTTAGTTCTCAACTCTCTAGTGAGATCCTTTTCTGGAAACAGGTCAATTTGAGGAGGTAAAGGAAGATTAAGAAGGTACTTAATCATCAAAGGTGTTGCATAAGGCAAAAGGATACCAAAAAAAGGGATAAAAATAGCAACATGGGGAGGCTGCAGTTGAGATCCTGAACTTTGGCCTTGTTTTACAGTTTGGGCAATGCACAGGTGCCAGTGTGGTTGGTGCATTTGGGGAGACGAGTTGGGTAGCTGTGAAGCTGTCCTTTTCTCTCCTTTCAGCATTTCGGTGCATTGAGGTCGTGCAGGCCCGCCTTGCTGAGGACCAGCTGGTGGTGGAGTGGCAAAGCTCTGATCCGAAGGTGGACACATGGATGGTTGAGTGGTTCCCAGATTTGGACTCAGAGCCCTCTGCTTATTCCTGGGAATCTGTGTCTCAGGCCAGGAACTGGACAATCCAGCAAGGTATCCAGTGTACCTTCTCCCACAAGTTCCCTCTGGCTAGATTTGGTTTCGTTTTCGTCAGTTTTTAAATCTTTAACTTTGGCTTCAAAGCTGTAAATGTGATTAATAGCATTTGACAAGCTCATGCAAGCTTAGGGAAGTGACTCACCTCCTGGCATCTCCCAGGCAAGGTTGGCACAGGAAGCTGTGGGTATTGGACCAGGTATCTGACCTGTCTCCAGGAAGAAAACACTAAGTTAACACGCGCCAAAAGAGAGCCCTTCTCAGATGTTTTGATAATCTTACACTAGAGTTTGGATTACACTAGAGTTTGGATCCCATCTGTCCTACCTGGGACACTGCCTTCAGTTCTTGTCGCTTATTTAAGAACTAGGCCCTTTCCCCAGGTGATTGATATAGGAAACAGCCTTCATTTTAAGACAGTCCCTGCCCCAGGTACGATGCATGAATGAGACTTTACCTGTTCAATCCTATCCCTCTGACCATTTCCTGATGCTAAATAGCAGCCATGTGAAGAGTGATAGGCATGCAGCGACGCAGGCAGGTAGAGAGGCTAGAATTTGTGTTATCTGAGTGCTCCAGCGTGATATGCTGTTGACCGAAGGATTCAGTTTTGTTCTGCAGTGGCCTCAAAATACATGATAACATCAGTGATGGAGAAGGGCCTGGATCTCTTACTTTTCTCTTCCTGGATAGCTCTGTAATTTTGTCAGAGTGGAACAGGGTTGAGTTCTAAGAGTTAATTAGAAAATCTAAGAGCAGCAATAGACATTAGAGACCATCCCACCTGACCTCCTTATTTTCCAGATGTGGAAACTATAGAGAAATGGAATATCTTCCATACGTCATAGGCCATAACTCTTAGTCTAGCATTCCTTCCACTCTGCCACGCTCTGTACTTATGCTTTTCTTTTTTCTTTCTTTCTTTTTTCCAGATAAATTGAAACCCTTCTGGTGCTATAACATCTCTGTGTATCCAGTGTTGCCAGACCAAGTGGGGGAGCCATATTCCATTCAGGCTTATGCCAAAGAAGGCTGTGCGTATGGACGAGGCCCCGTGGGGGACAGGAAACCCTGGGGCCTGTCCAGCATTCAGAGAGGGCCCATTTGTGCCGCACCTTCATCCTGCAGGGACCCGTGAATGTTTGACACAACTAGGCCCAGGTTATAGATTTGCTGAATTTGAAAGCTGGGGTAGACACTAAAGAGCATCAAGTCTAATCCCCTCATTTCACAATTTAAAAATTGAGGCTCAGTGAGGTGAAATAACTTACCCAGAGTCACAAACACCTAGTGCAAATACAGCTGCAACCAGAAATAACATTTAATTAAGACCAACTCAGGGAGCCTTAGAGAGTTCATCATAAGTTAGGGATGATAAAAATTTGTTTTTAATTGTGTAGCAATAAGCAAGGACTTTACTGGTGAATTGCTCAGAGTTTATATGCATCTTTTTGGAAGTTCATGTCTTCCAGATTCAACTGGAAAAATATCTGCCACTCAAATGTAGTCCGTGGAGGCATATATTTCAACTATTTGGTAATAGCTACATGGTGTAATCCTAGCTCTCTGGGAGGCCGAGGCGGGCGGATCGTTTGAGTTCAGGAGTTCGAAACCAACTTGAGCAAGAGTGAGACCCTGTCTCTACTATAAATAGAAAGAAATTAACTGGCCAACTAATATATATAGAAAAAAAATGAGCTGGGCATTGTGGCGCATGCCTGTAGTCCCAGCTACTTGGGAGGCTAAGGCAGCAGGATTGCTTGAGCCCAGGAGTTTGAGGTTGCTGTGAGCTAGGCTGACGCCACGGCACTCACTCTAGCCTAGCAACAAAGCGAGACTCTGTCTCAAAAAAAAAAAAAATAGCTACACTGTACAGATATGACTGGAAAAGCTGAGTACCAAATTGGAGTGAGAGGTCTACGAGGAAGTATTTTTTCTCTGGCCTTTGATGTCACTTCTCTTCTCAAGATGGGTGACTCCAGAAAACCATGTTCTCATTGCTTCTTGGCCTTTTGGCTAAGATCAAGTGTAGTATTTGTTCTTATCAGAAAACAATTTCCCAATAAGTTGATTCATTAATTCCCTATCCCGCCCTCACCTCCCACCTCCAGCGCTGTGGTTTTGGTCTGAGTACTGGCCAGAGCCTTGGTGGGAGGAGGAGCTGCTGGGGTGTGAGTCAGCATTTATCATTTATTTCCCTGTCCTTTCCAGTTCCAAAAGAAGGTCCTGTGACCAAGGTGGAGGACATTGGAGTGCAGACTGTCACAATCACATGGAAAGAGATTCCCAAGAATCAGAGAAATGGTATCATCAGTAACTATACCATATTTTGCCAAGCTGAAGATGGAAAAGAATTCTGTAAGTGTGCCCATGGCCAGGGTGAAAAAGCCCCACACAGATGCCATGGATAGACCTATCATAGGGTGGCTCCCATGGTTGTGATCTGCAATCTTATATTAGTCACTTAGCTTCTTTGAGCCTCTCTGAAAATGGGGCCAAGAACATCCACCTTTTGAGGGTTTCGGGGTTTAAATGAGAACAAAGTAACAAAGTACCTGAGAGTCCTGTAGGAATGGGAGGAGTTGATATGATTTGTGCTGGTCAGGCCCTGAACGAGCTGACCTCCCGGGAGCTTCATGTTGTTGGAAGGGTATTAATGGCTTAAAGATTGGAAGGGGGCCAAGCGTGGTGGCTCATGCCTGTAATCCTAGCACTTTGGGATGCCGAGGCAGGCAGATCGTTTGAGCTCAGGAGTTCGAGATTAACCTGAGCAAGAGCGAGACCCCGTCTCTACTAAAAATAGAAAGCAATTAATTGGCTAACTAAAAAAAATATATATATATATAGAAAAAGTTAGCCGGGCATGGTGGCACATGCCTGTAGTCCCAGCTACTTGGGAGGCTGAGACAGGAGGATTGCTTGAGCCCAGGAGTTTGAGGTTGCTGTGAGCTAGGCTGACGCCATGGCACTCTAGGCCAGGCAAAAGAGTGAGACTCTCTCTTAAAAAAATAATTTAAAAAAAAGAGTGGAAGGGGGACAGACCCCATACCATGACTTCTACTGCCCAATGCCAAGTCATGCTCTTTTTCTTAAGTCCATAATATCTCCTATCATACTAAATTCTGGATTAGCTTGGATTCCTGTTTAGGCTAAAATTTTTGTGTTATGTAAAATACATGTAACATAAAATTTACCATTTTAAACATTTGAAAGTATACAATTTAGGGGCATCAAGAATATTCATAATCAGCACTATATATTTCCAGAACCTTTTTATTTTCACTTAAATAGAAGAGCTCTACCCATTAATTGGTCACTCCTTATTTCCCTCTTCCCACTGTCCCTGGTAACCACCAAACTACTTTGTGTCTCTATGGGGAATGCCTATTCTGGATATTTCATATAAATAGAATCATAGAATATGTGACCTTGTGTCTGGCTTTTTTTACTTAGTATAATGTTTTCAAAGTGCATCCATGTCATAGCATGAATTAGTATTTCATTCCTTTTCATGACTGAATAATATTTCATCATATGGAATGTCCCTGTTTTGTTTATCTATTCATCAGTTGGTGAATTATCAATGGATTATCCATTCATCAGTTGTTTCAACCTTTTGGCTACTGTGAATAGTAATGTTATGAATATTGGTATACAGATACATGTTCGAGTCCATACTTTCAATTCTTTTGGGTATATACCTACAAGTAAAATTCCAGAATCATATGGTAATTCCAGTTTAACTTATTGAGGAACCACCAAACTTTTTACATAGTGACTACACCACTTTACATTCTCACCAGCAATATATGAGGGTTTCAACTTCTCTATATCCTTGTCAACACTTGTTACTTTTCATTAAAAAAATATTATTATGGCTGTCCTAGTGGGTGTGAAGTGGTATCTCATTGATTTGCATTTTCCTAATGACTAATGAAGTTGAGCGTCTTTTCGTTTAGTTGTTGGCCATTGGCATATCTTCTTTGGAGAAATGTCTTTTTAATCTCTTTGCTTATTTTTAAATTTGGTTGTTTGTCTTTTTTGTTGTTATATTATGAGAGTTCTTTATATATTCTGAATATAAGTTTGTTATCACATGTATGGTATGTAAATATTTTCTCCTATTCTGTGGGTTGTCTTTTTTTTTTTTTTTTTTTTTTTTTGCGACAGAGTCTCACTTTGTTGTCCAGGCTAGAGTGAGTGCTGTGGCGTCAGCCTAGCTCACAGCAACCTCAAACTCCTGGGCTTGAGTGATCCTTCTGCCTCAGCCTCCCGAGTAGCTGGGACTACAGGCATGCGCCACCATGCCCGGCTAATTTTTTATATATATATCAGTTGGCCAATTAATTTCTTTCTATTTATAGTAGAGACGGGGTCTCGCTCTTGCTCAGGCTGGTTTTGAACTCCTGACCTTGAGCAATCCGCCCGCCTCGGCCTCCCAAGAGCTAGGATTACAGGCGTGAGCCACAGCACCCGGCCTTGGGTTGTCTTTTTATTTTCTTAATATTGTTCTTTTGATGCACAAAAGCTTTTAATTTTAATGAAGTCCAATTTAACCTGTCTTTCTTTTGCTACTTGTGCCTTTGGCATCATATATCAGAAACCATTGTGGAATTCAAGGTCATGAAGCTTTTACCCTATGTTGTCTTTTAATAGTTTTTATAGTTTTAACTCTTGTATTTAGGTCTTTGATCCAACTTGCTGGGCTAATTTTAGGCAGAACATGCACAGGGATTGGAGTATGAGATGGCCAACCTTAGTATCACAAGTTCCAATTGTTCTTACTTTGGTGCTACTAAAACACAGTTTTTAGTCTGGCTTGCCTGTGGTGTTTGACTTTTGTGTTTTTCCTTTAGCCAAGACAGTCAACTCCAGCATGCTGCAATATAGCCTGGAGTCCCTGACACGAAAGACCTCTTACACTGTTCAGGTCATGGCCAGCACCAGTGCTGGGGGAGCCAATGGGACAACGATAAAGTTCAAGACATTGTCAATCAGTGAGTATTTCTGTCAAGCCCTGAGTACCTCTCCTTGACATTTACCTTAGGTCACTGAGAAACAGTGTTTGCCAAAAGTGGGTGGAAGCCCAGTGAATGACAGTACCCAGGTGAGAGGAGCCGTCCAGCTCTCCGGCTCATTGACCCTTCTGGAAGGCACATGGACAAGGAGACAGGAGGGAGAGCACGCAAACTGAGAGCAGAATTCGGAAAGACTGGTTATTTTGTTCCTTCCTCACGGGCAGCTGCCAATCATGTCAAGAAGGTGGTGTCTAGTTAATGCTAGCTTCAGCCTCAGCTCCTTGCCAACTCCTGCCCCCAGGCTGTCCCCGAGCTTATAGTCACCGCCTCTGCAAGTCAGGGGATATTACGCTATAGGGCCTTGGAGGGAAAACCTTGGTTGACCAAGCCCACAGGAAGGGGCTTAGCCTCATCTCATTTGTGAAATTCTTTTGGACAAAAAGATCAGTGATATGTTGGACTTACCAACTTTTACATTAAAAAACAGGAAGCAAGAAAAATTTAGTAGCTACCAGGAGTGATGTAAAATAGAGTGTAGCTTCATGTGATGGTTGGTTAAGGGAGATGTTCAAGAGGGAAGGAACATGGAATAAGAAGTGAAGCAGAAAGAAGGAAGGAGAATGGGAAAAACAAGAGAAATATATTAATTTTGCCAAGTCCTTGAGTGGCAGAGATTTGATTTTTAAGTATATACAAAAACTGTTTTAAGGAATGAACAGCCTTTTAGATTAAAAATGAAGGAACATCGCCAAGTTTTGTAATAACTGGTCAAGGTAAAAATTGTCTGCTTGAAATATTCATGAAAGCCTGTTTTATCACATTTTAAAGAATAAAATAGCTTTGTAACTCTGGAAAATGTAAGCATAGCATGTGTTTTTACATAGAAAACATGTTCTGTTTTTATGAATTAAGATTGCCTTTTTGGAACTCTTTTTGATCTTGCTGTTTAAAATCTTTTAGAATCATGTTATATTTTCATAACACTAGGCACAAATTGTATCAGCTCATGGGATTTTCTCCAAGAGGCAAAATGAAGGCAAGAGCCTGTCTCGAAGCCTCGAAGTTTCCTGGTTTATAGATCATAGATCACCCTGTGTCTATCTCTGATCCTTTATAATGCCTTTTCCACACAGCAGCCACAGTTTCAAACCCTGGATGCCCTGCTTAAAACCTACCAGTGACTTTTATTGTATTATAAATAAAGTCCAAACTCCTTCCTATCGCTTTCATGGTCCTTCATCATCTGACCTCATCATTTACCACTTTCTGCCTCCATTTATGTTCCTCACCTTGTTCCTGTGTCAAAGCTTTCACACCCGCTGTTCCTTCTGCCTGGAATACTTTTGCATGGCTGGCTCCTTCTCATTATTAAGATCAGCTTGAATTTCACTTCTTCCTTGGCCACCCTATCTAAAGTTGCTACCCTCCCTTCCACTTTACCCCAGTTACTTTCTATCTTACCATCCTGTTTTATCTGAAATCATCTTATGTTATTTAATGTCTGGATCTTTTACCAGAACGCAAGCTCCATAAGAATAAGGATCTTGTATTTCTAGCTTATTGCTATTTATTTAATTACCTAGAATAGTGTTTGCCAAATAGTAAGTGCTCAATAAATATTCGTTGACTGAGTGAAGTTGGAAGATGGGCTTAGCGAACACAATGTATCATGCAGGAGAAGACAACTGAATGAGGAGCTTCAAATTCTAGGGTTCTTTTAATTGAAAGAAATTGAATTTAATTCAAGGAAAACTAATAAGAAATTGTGTTGCTGAAGCTACTAGAAGAAAAAGTTAATCTTTGGTTTTTGTCAAGAAAGTTATGGACGGAACTTACTACTGACTTTTGTTCTCCTTTTCCCAAAGGTGTCTTTGAGATGTTCCTTATAACTTCTCTGACTGGAGGAGGGCTTCTTATCCTCATCATCCTGACAGTGGCATATGGTCTCAAAAAACCCAAGTGAGTTTATAGGCAACAGTGGGTGCCTTGAAAACCAGGGACAAAAAAGGATGGAAGACATCATGGGTGTTTTGTAGAAGAGAACACTCTACCATTAAGGGAGCATTCATTCACTTATTCCTATAGTATGTATTTATTGAGATTATTGGAGGCTATATATACTCTGAGGCTCATCACAGATCTGACCAAGCAAGAGGACTTTCACTCTCATAGCTCCACGCACCAGGTCTAGGCCTTTTGGAGGCTGGGAGAGTGCCAGCTGCCCCGTAGGCTTCCTCTGCCGCATTTACTGTCTGAAACTAGAGGCCCTTTGTCTCATCGTCCAGAGGCCTTCTTGCAAGCCTCTCTCGCAGCTAGAGCAGGGAGCAGCATCCCATGGAGTTGGAGTGCTGGCCAGTGTATGGCGGCACAAACTTGTTGCTTGCTTTTGCAGTGCACTGTCACAGGGCTGGCTGTAGCGGCCTTTGTCCTGCCTGGCCTGGTCACTATGGGGAAGCAAGCGTGTCTTCACGGTCTTGTGCTTTCTTTCTGCAGCAAGCCTATGCTACCCTGATGGTCCTTCCTTGGTAGAGATCTCTCTCCAAATGGAACAGTTGTGGGCTTCTCTGCCAAGCAGCTGTGCTTAGTTAATAGTCAAGCTAATGCAACCTCAGTTACCAGTGTAGGTTGTCACCAAGCCACTAGCACAAATTCTTGTACTTATGCACTTAAGAAATCATTTTAACCTTTAGCATGCATCAGAATCAGGCCCCACCCCACGGGTTTCTCATTCCATGGTTCTGGGGTGAAGCCCAAGAATTTGCAATTCTAACAAGTGCCCAGGCGTTGCAGCAGCTGCTGGTTAGGAGCACACTTTGAGAACCCCTACTCTGGAATGTGGGTAACTTATAAGGCTTAGAATGTTACCCTTCCCAGGGAATAAATCTCAAAGGAATGGCCATGATGCTGCACTTTCCAGCAATAGGACCAGGGATGGACATGCAGGCGCCAGAGAGGGGGAAGGAAGGAATATCTTTGCGTGGGCAGAAGTCTCCTCCTGTCACATCCCATAAATAGCTTGCAATTTTACCTGCTTCTCCAAACGGTTATACTTCCCTTTCCCAATTTCTATCAGGAGGCCCTTAGTTAATAGGGAGCCATTCAGTTCCTCTTAGCAAAGCCCCACTCTTTCGGCTCAGCTATCCAGTGTGTATAAAATGCTTGCTGGACTCACTGCTTGTTTTAAAATCTTATCTCTTATTAGCAAATTGACTCACCTGTGTTGGCCCAATGTCCCCAATCCTGCTGAAAGCAGTATAGCCACATGGCGTGGAGATGATTTCAAGGTAAACGCTCCTGTATTTATTAAGGAAATCATTGTGCAGGCTGCTTGTGGGAGGTGGACAGGGTGGGTGGAGATGGGGCGGAGTCCTGGGCTGAGCTTTTCACATGAAGAGAACTTGAGGTTAAAAAGTGCCAGGGAGTGGCCGGTGGGGCAGAAGGAATCAACCTTCCTGGGACGACTTTGACCTCATGCTTTGGACAGGAGGGAGGGGCTTCACCAGGCTCATGAGGACCCAGTGTGACCCAGTGTGTTCCCACAATGGAGCTGGTCCCACAAAGGGTGCCGCAGATGACAGAGCCCAGCCCTGCCCTTCTTGACTTGACTGTCGAATTGGAGGGAGACCAGGCTGCTTTGAAAAGCAACCAAGAGCAAATTGGTCTGGATCCCGGGGGAATGTTGATGGGCAGAGCTGTCCACAGGCGACCTCGAGGTGTGTTCATCACATCAGGGAAGTTAGAGTCAAACTTCATTCAACTGGCATTGGGCTTTTGAGACATGGTCTCGCTCTGTTGCCTGGGCTAGAGTGCTGTGGTGTCAGCCTAGCTCACAGCAACCTCAAACTCCTGGGCTCAGGCGATCCTCCTGCCTCAGCCTCCCGAGTAGCTAGGACCACAGGCATGCATCACCATGCTCACCTAATTTTGTCTATATATACTTTTAGTTGTCCAGGGAGTTTCTTTCTATTTATAGTAGAGACGGGGTCTCGCTCTTGCTCAGACTGGTTTCGAACTCCTGACCTTGAGCAATCCGCCCGCCTCAGCCTCCCAGAGTGCTAGGATTACAGGCAAGAGCCACCCGCGCCTGGCCTTCGCATTGGGGTTTTTGAATGCATATTTCTTAAGTAGAAACCCTCCTTTTCCTAAGTTTTTAAATTGAAAACTGTTATGAAATTTTTAAGGTGTACTTTCTTGCTTAACCACTTCAGTACGGCGCTCGCCGGCCGCGAAACCTTGCCCACAGCCGGCACTCATAGTCCACGATAGTTTGTGCTGCGCATTGACGACAAACCCGTTTTGCTCTTGTGTGATGAGGAAAGCTTTAAAGCACTGAAAGCTTGTTTTACTTTACAGGCAGCTTTACTTGTAATGTAAATCAGAATAGGTAACATATACATATATGTTTTCATTATGTTATTTTTAAATGTTCACATGTTTATTTTGATAAATGAAAAATTAGAAAAGTCATATCACGGCTGTCAGGTAAAGTCGCTATGCATGTTCCTCTGTGGCTGTCGACTATAGCCGATGCTGGTACTGAAGTGGTTAAGTAGAAATAAGCCCAGTCAAATACAACCTTTCAATCCTTATTATTGAAAGACAGTCTCCAGTTTTTCTTTGATCTAGAAATTTTAAATATTAGTCTTTATTTCAACTCGAAGTTATTGTTTTAAATGTGGATATTTTCATTAATGGACTTTATTCCTATTTATCAGTCTTATATTACCCTATTTACTTTCCTACATATGAAAAGTTACTTAGAGAGTAAATGAATCCATGGGCAATGTTGTATGATGCCTAAATTGTTTTTTGAATAATCTGTAGGTTGGGGCTCTACATCAAGCACTTATTAGTCACCCACTGCATGCCTGGCACTGGGCTAAGCCCTAGAGATACAAAAATGACAAAAATGCCATCCCTGCCAGGAGGCCACCTTTGATTTTTCTGGTGATGTTAGGCAAGTCTGTCTTTCTGATTGTGATTATTTCATCTCTAAGGGCTCTAACTTTAATGCTTCCATGTTAACATATGATTGTATGGAAAATGGCCTTCAGTTCTCTAGAAGAAGAAATTGTTTGAATCCAGGGTGCCATTTCTCAGGAAGTGGGCCACTCTTTCCCAGCTCCCGTGAAAGGGCTAGTGGAGATGACTGGCCACCACTTCTGGGCTTGGGAGGAATGTGGAGTGCTGTTCAAGAGTGGGGCATCTGGGGTCCCAAGCCTGATGAGCTTTTGGCTACATCAAGTGTAGCCCCTAAATGATCATTTGTGATGTCCCTTTTTCTTGTCCAGGATAAACTAAATCTGAAGGAATTTGATGACTCTGTGAACCTGGAAGAAGACAGGATCCTAAAACCATATTCTACCCCTAGTGACCTTATTGACAAGTTGGTGGTGAATTTCGAGAATTTTCTGGAAGACGTTTCTATAGAGGAAACTGGAAAGAGTCAGGAAAACATTTTGGGAGGGGAAAAGAATGAGTACATGACCTCCCCCTACAGGACTGAGTATGCTCCAGGGAAGAGTTTTGAGGAGTCCCTGGTTTCCACTGAGATTCCTCCCAGAAAATCGCAACACCCGTGTTTGAGAATGCCGGAAGGGACCTACTCAGAAGCCAAAGAGCAACTTCTCTTTTCTAGTCCGAGTTTAGGGCCAGACTATTTCGGTGAGGAAGGAGCACCAAATCCATATTTGAAAAATTCAGTGACAACCAGAGAATTTCTTGTGTCTGAAAGACTTCCAGAGCACACCAAGAGAAGTCTAAATGCCACCGTGGCATGAGACCCTCGGAGCCTCGGTGCAGACGGCCCTTGCCTAGTGAAAATACCACAACTTGGCACAAAGTGCTTCCATGTCCCCTCCCCACCGTCTCCCTGACCCCGAGCTGCTGGCTGAGCTTGGCTGGCACAGATGGGAACTGGTGCTGGGAAGAAGGAGGGGCGATAAGAAGCCCCAGCGCTTTGTAGAGGGAAAGCAATTTATTTCCTTGTGTTCAGATAGCAGGCTGTCACCAAGGCCTCTTGACAGATTGACTTTGAAGGACGAGCCCAGGTTCTGAGCCCAAAGGAGTCCTGAGGTGGACATACCTGGCTCCCCAGAAATGGGTCGTGGCCACAGCCTTTGCTGGGGCTCCTCACCAGAGTTCCAGGAGGGCCTCTCCCTGTCACCAGAGGATGGTTGTTTAGTTGGTACTTGGGTGGTTGGGTGGAAGCCTGGGCTCTGGGCTTCCCCTCTGAGGCAGCCCTGAAATCTTACTCTCCCCACACAGACGGGCTGGAAATGGAGTGGACCTTCCTAAGGGCGTGCCTGAGGCTTCTCCTAACAATTATGGAGTCTCCAGTGTCTGCAGCAACACCGCACCCTGGACTCCTCGCCCCATTTACAGCACAGTGACTGCCAACACATCCAGGAAGGAGGGAGGGTCCCAGAGGGGTGCTGGAGACTGGACTCTGCTGGGTGCAGGTCTGCCGGTCTCCAGGCCTCCTCCCAGCCCTCCCACCTTGCCCCTGAGCCTGGGAGTAGAAAGGCAGCAGACATTGCAGTGCTGTTGTACAGGGACTCTGGCCCCTCACGCTGGCTCAGAGTCCAGGACCAGGAATGCTTACTGAGCATACCCTTAAGAGGCCTCTTCCCAGAAGTAGCTGAGCAGGCCTGGGGACATGCAATGTTTAGCAACTTTGCTGCCCCAACACACGGATTTCTGCTCCTTTGCTCCAGCCGAGCATAGAGCTCGTGACAGTGGAGCCTTTCAAGTACGTGCTGATTGCACTGGGACCTGGGGTGCAGCTGTCTCTGGGCTCCTACGATGATCACAGCCATGGAGTCAGCGTTGCGGGAGGTCACCGGGAGGTCACTGGGAGCCTGGGGAGATCAGGGGCAGGCGAGGTAATAAGTGAGGGGCCCGAGATGCAATGACCCAGCATTTGCCTGCCTGGAAGCCTGATGCTATTTTTTCTAGGAGAGTTCAAGAAGTCAGTACTTGTGTCCCAGGCATGAACTTTCATAAGCCACCAACTCAGTTGTGCAAAACATCACTTTACTTTCCTATAAATAAAATTAATTTCTAGCCCAAACCCCTGACACTTGGAAGTAACCTCAGCCCAGTTTGGAGATTTGGGGGTTGATTTACATTTATAGCTCAGTCCCATTTGGGATTTTGACCTCCCCTGTCCTACCCAGGACTGGTTCTGAGGACAGAGGACCTTGAATGGAGCAGCATTTGTGGGGCAGAGTGAGCCACTCAGTGGAGTGGCTCTGGGATCCTGTGTTCATCCAGCCATGGTTTTGTCGCTGGTCTTATGTATATGCCTTGGCCACAGCTGTCCCTGTTGGGTCACCTGCCACTCGCCTCAGCCCACTGCTGCCCACTAACTGTGGGCACAGGAAGGTGTGGCTGCTCTCCTGAAGCTCCCTCCTCATTACATCTAAATGATGTCCTCGTTAAATCTCAAGTGGCTGCACCACGCCCAACTCTTCAGCCCTGGTTTACAAGATAGTGACTGCAGATTTTTCAAGGAATGAGGAGGCCTGAGGAAGGGCACTGGGGAACGGACCCAGGTCAGCCCTCCTGTCCCTCTGTCCTGCACCCAATCCTGGGTGTGGAAAGGGACCAATCAAAAGCTTCCCTGATCCCTACTCTGCCACTGCCTCCGGGTGGCTTGGCACTTCTGTGAGGCTGCTGTCCTAGAGTTCCAGATGGGGCCCTGTCCGCCTTTGGAGTTGTGACCGTATGGGGAGGTTCTAGCCTCGCCTCCTGTCTTGGCCCAAGGAGCGGGGAGGCACAGGAACCCCCACAACCGTCCTGTCTCCCCTCTGGCCCCCTGCCCACCTCCAGCTGGGGGACCCTTCTCAAGTCCTGTGGGAGATGGGGGAGAGGAGACAGCCCGGAATGAGTCCTCCGTGATTGTCTGTCTCATACCTGGATGAGGCTTTAGAACCTAAAGTCCAAGAATTCCACGGCTGGAGGTGGAGAAAGGTTCCCGAATGGCTCCCATGATTGTGTTGCCCTCTGGCCCCCATCATCGAAGCAGAAATACCTTCTGTGCATAGCTGGCGAACGCCCCTCGGCCCTTCCTGTGCCATTTCTCCTCTTCTCTCCCTTCCCTCTTGCCTCTGTCTTCTGCATCTTTTTCTGCTCATGTTTTAACTCTTCCTTTTATTTCTTGTTTCTTTTCATTCCTTTCTCCCCTGGCCATTGGCCTTCTTTGATCATTTTCCATATCTACTTTTGCCAACTTCGAGGGGTGGGAAGATGGTGCTCTCTGTTCTGTTCTAGGTGGGTCTGAGGTGGTTTCGCAGGAGCCAGGTGAGAGGAGCAGCTCCCAAGAGCCCTGCAGCGCATGCAGCGGGCCTCACGCCTCACGCCTGGCCCTCCAGAGCAGGCTCAAGGGACACCAGCCTCAGCGCTCTGTCCCCACTCCCAGCCCCCACTCCTGGCGCCCTGGGCTGGCCCTCTGGCTGGGGAAGGCCCTGCGCATTTTCTGTTTACTGTCAGACACCCTGTGAGAACACAAACAGGAAGGCTTGTGTTTAGCAAGGTCATTAAAAATGGAGAAAATGTCCATTAAAGAGTTTTCTGGGGCTCTGGGAACCCTGTAAACAGCTAGGTTAGTGGCCTATTAGTGGCCTTTCTTTTACAGTAAGAGCAGAAAACTTTAAAAGAATGGCAGAGAAGCCAATCTGTCGTTTTTGCTTTTTTTTTAAAAAAAAAAGGCTATCCCTTCCTCCTGGCGTCTTAGGTGGCAGCGTGAAAACATGGTGGGGGTGGGGGTCGGGGATGGGACGAGAGAGGCCTCCGGAGTGGATCCCTGGAGCTCCCTGCTGCTCCCCCGGTGTGTGGCCGTGTGTGCGGGGCAAGGCTGTGCTGGTCCACCCAGACCCCCCAGTCTGATTCCGGCCCCCCACACCCCCCAGTTCCTGCTGCTGCCGCCTGTGGGCCAAATGTGGGCTGCAAGCTAAAAGCCATGTTGACATTTTTAAATGGTTGAAAACAAAATCAAAGGAAGAATAATATTTTGTGATTTCAGTGTCCACAAATAAAGCTTAATTAGAACCCAGCCATGCCCATTATTTATGTATCCTCTATGGGTGCTTGCCCCACGCCCCCACAGGCAGAGCTGAGTAGCTGCAACAGAGACAGTTTGTCCCACAGAGCCTAAAACGTTCACCATGTGCCCCTTTGCAGAAAAGTTTATGACCACCTGCTGTAGCCCATAGATGGGAAGCTCAGGCCACACTCTGTTTTAACTTGGAATTTGCTGCTAATTAAAAAAGAAACAGGGTGTGTCCTTCTGGATTCCACCTGAATACGGCCCCCTTTGGAAGAACACACACTCTCTGGCTCCCGGAGCCCCCATAATGTTCCATCCCCTTCCCATTGTGAAGGTGGAGAGTTGGTGGCTGTTTATCACTTACACCAGTGGTTTTCAACCACAGTGACTTTGCTTCCCATTCCACAAGCCGCAGACGTTTTGGCAAATGCCTAGAGATAGTTTTGATTGTCACAACCGGGAAGGTGCTACTGGCATCTAGTGGGTAAGGCTGGCAATGCTGCTGTCATCCTACAGGGCAGCCCTCACAGCAAAGAATTACCTGCCCGAAAACATCAGCAGGGCCGAGGCTGAGAAATCCTGCCCTGAACTAAGCTCTGCCCAACGCGTTTGCACGGGTGAGACTCAGCATCTGTACATGGCTCCAGCTGTCTCTCTCTTTTTTTTCTTTTTAATTTACAATTTGTTTGGGGCTCAACTGTACAACAACAATCCCAAATGCTCTAAATATCAAACATTTATCTCATTCTTAACTCGCGATATTATCTCTGTGTACCTATATACATTCTCACCTAATTCCAAGTCATCCGTTGAATACATTGTGTTCTCCCTTTACTTTCAGTTATTTCATATGTGAAATTCTTGCACGAACACAGCATTGTGAATGGCCACACAGAGCACAGTGTGCCTGCACTGAGTGGTTTGCTAAGGCCTCCCTTAGTGGACAGGATTGTTTCAAATGTCCTCCTGTACATGAAACATCTTTGTATAAAATTTTCTTTTCTCACCTTTGTCCTATCTCCTTGGGGCTGTTTCCAAAAGTGGAATTGCTGGGTCAGAGTTTTATGGTTATGGTCACATATTGCATGACTGCATGCATCCCAAGAGAGGCTATCTGATTGATAACATCATCAGAGATGTCTGAGGGATCCTTTGTCCTTTTCCACTAATAATCAGCTGTTTACTACTATACACTGGATTTTGTCAGTTTATTGGGAATAGTTAATAAAACCTTGTAGTTACTTGTGCCGCTTTAATCCTTATGAAGCCAAACTTTTGCCCTCTGTATTTTACGGTCTACATGTCCCTGTGTTTATGTTACAGAACCTTCTCCCTCCACATTCCTAGGGTATTAGAGACCAGCTGAGCTGCAAGAAATTAGAGGCACACAGCAGGACTTTAGCACAATGGGTAGACTTTGTCATTTGGTTCATTTTTGTAGAGCATTTTAAAAAAAAAGAAATTCCATACTTAGGCATTTTTTTGTTTTATGTAAATGTTAATTATTGACAAGGCCTATTTGTAATCAGAGTGTGGCATGGTCAGTGTCTTGTATTCTTATTGTGGGGGTGGGGTCCAGAAGAGTGGAGTGTGACAAAGAATATTAGCAGTCTCATGCCCTCTGCAGCTTTCTCTGGACACTGGGGTCCATGGCGAGTTTGCTGAGGAGCACAAACAGCCGCAGTCCATGTTGGAAGAGCCCCGAGAGCACGTTAGCCATCTGTGCTGAGCTCCGTGCAGGGCTGTCTCGTCCAAGAAGCCCACTCTGTGCTGGTGAGCAGGGCCGGGGAGAGCAAGGGGCACAGCTGCAGGAGAGAGCAAAACCTGCTGTCAGCAGCGGCTCCCTGGGTCGCTCGGGGGAAGCTAGATGTGTGTATGCCAATTTCATTTTTAGGAATGGAAGTCTCTTCTCACGATTCTACGTGTACACGTCACAGTTGCTTTGTTTCAAATCTTCCTTTATAGGAAACGACCCAAAGCGTGCAAGAAAACTTCCAGTTGGCCTTTCGAAATAAATAACACGTATTTACTCTGAAGCAAAGCTGAACATTGTCTCGTTGAGTCAGCATATGCTAAGCGATCTGGGTGTCGAGCCCCTCCCAAGACATGTTTTATCAGCCAGCCTTTGTTGTCCTGCAGGAAAAAATACGAGTTCCAGGAAAAAATGACAGGCTTGCTGGTTGTTGACTTCCTTCCTGATGGTAAAATAACAGCCTCCTAAGCTGACAATTCCATGAAGTCTCACGAGTGGGTTCCAGAGAACACTTTCTGCTCTGACCAAAGGGGGAACGCTCTGTCCCAAGGCACTTCTCTTGGACCCGAAGCAGTGTTTTCCATCCTATATCAGAGTCCATTCTCTTCTCCAGACTCCAGTCTCCTCGCTATCCCTCTCCCACCAAAATTTAAAAAAAAAACAGAAACAAAAAACCTCCAAAACAAAATCTTCTAAAAAGAGCAACCCCCAAATAGAACAACAAAATGAACTCCCACCCCGACCCCCGGCTCCTCCTGCCGGAATATCATCCTTCCGGTCCTCCCCGAGCCCTTGCCGGGGAGAGCTCTGAGTGAACCAGCTCAGGACAGTCCTTCTGAGGCCTGTGGCACAGGGGACCCGTTGCAATGCTGCTTGCAGCACAGTGGATGTGCAAAGCCCTTAGATGGGCGTCGTCCCTGTCACAGCACCGTAACTGCTCCGGCTGCGTTGTCTGTCAGAGTCAGGGCTTAGCCAACTTACCTGGTGGGAAGAGGGTCAGGTTCTTTGAGCACCTGGGGTCACTCACGGTGTGTCTGGCCATCAGAACCAGTGCGTGTGAGTTGGGGTCAGTCCTCAGCGAGGCAGAGCCATGCTCAGGGTGCGAGGCAGAGCCATCCTCAGGGTGCGTGAACGCGGATGGTCACCCCAGCTTCCTCCCCACCGCCCACCAGCCTTGGCTGCCAGCCTCGCCTTGGGAGCAGGTGGAAGTGAGGGCAGCATGGAGGAAGTGAGAGAGGGTAAAGGAGGGGGCTTTGCACACCCATGGGATCAGGACACAGGCCCAGTGACAGACCAGGAATGCTCTGGCTCATTGCTCCCTTATAAGACTCTACAGAACCCTGGCAACAAAACCCTCTTTTCTAGGGCTATCATGGCCACCTGCTCGTCCTACCTGCCACAGCTGTGCCTCCTGGCTTGTGACTTTGGTGGCTGGGTGGAGCCCTGGCTGTAGTTAGAGTGACTGGCTGTGTGGGACTGAGGGGTTCATCAGCATGTGGGACTTAGAATGCTAAAACCTAACAGTCTTAGGCCAACCAGGATGGGGTGACCCTGCAGTGCAGCTCCTGGTCCTGTCCCCTCCTTAGAGTTACACACTTGTGCTAGTGGTATCTTGAGTGTGATGAATTCACTCTGCCCTCGGGGAGCCCCTTCCCTGACTGCGACAGGAGCTGGGGACCTATGGGTGGCCCTTCCTCCTGCTTCCTTGGCAGGCCTGGTCCCGAGGTCCAACCACCTCCCATGAGGCTCTGCCCCCCCCACTTCCCATAATGCTCTTCGGGACCCATGACCCCCTCAGTAAACCTGGTCATGTCATGGAGACGCAACCCAGGAGACATCCCTTCCTTTTCTTACAACAGCAACAAGCTGGACAGTGTCCTGCTTCACTGTGTGGCTGATGTCTGTCGTGACCTGTTTCACTGTTGAGCCAGGCGGTGGGTGTGGGACCCGGACTTCAGAGGTTGCTGTGTCTCGCCTCCTGAGACCGCCCAGGCCCCATACGCAGGCAGCCCGTCCTCCCAAGGCACTGGTGTCACGAAGAGCCACTGCTCCCAATGGCCCAGAGCCTGGACAAGCCTCCGCAAAACCTGCTGTGCCCCTCCCTGTCCTTGTTTGGAGGCTCCGGCCAGCCCTTCAGATTAGCTTGGTCCAATGTCCCTCGTCCCATTACGGGCTAGAGAATAGGGAGGTTTCTGGCCAGTGCTGGCTGGTCTGCCGGGCTCTGGGTTAGGGAAAGTTGGTGGAGACAGGATCATGCGTGCTAAATTCTGGGTCCTGAGAGCCCACCCACAGGCAAATGCATTGAAATTGCCACATTTCACATTAATTGTTATGTCTTTTGGCCTTTAACATTTTGGAAGGGTTTTTATGTTTTATTCTTGAAATTATTTGCCCATACATATCTGTGTGATTTCTCAGCACCCATCCTGACTCTCGAGGGATTCTTGTAAATTGAAAAAAACATCCATTCTAATCCATTTGCAAATTGCTTACAGATGTAATAACATGCTTACGAATGCTAACATAATGAAGCTGGCTATGTTTTGTTTTATAATCACTTAAATAGTCTTCAGTTTTGCAATTTTCTTTCCCCATTTCTTTTTTTTTTGGTCAATAATTGTTTTCTTCAATTGAAGTATATTTTTGTAGAGCCCTGAAATATTCGCTGGCCTCGGGTCCTGCCCCTCTAGTGCCAGATGTATAGAATATCTCCGGCTGAGAGGTCTCAGCAGCTCGAGCAGCGGGAGCAGCAGCAGCGGCCAGGCAGCCCAGCTTCGAGAAGGCTCTCAGTGCCTGCAGCCACCCGGCGCACCCTCCCCACAGTTGTCAGCTAAACCTGCTGCTGCAAAACTAGAAAGGAAGCCAAAAAAGGTAGCAGCAAGGGATAGATCTTCAGATAAAAAAGTGCAATGAAAAGGAGAAAACAGGTGGAAGTGGCTAATCAAGAAACTAAAGAAGATTTGCCTGCAGAAAATGGAGAAACTAAAACAGAGGCGAGTCCTGCCTCCAATGAAGCAGGAGAGAGAGAAGCCACGTCTGATTAATAGTAGACACTGTGTCCTAGCCATGGTCCCTGTGTACCTCCTTGTACAATCCAGAGGAATATTCTCATCAACTACTTTGTAAAAGCAAGTTTTTACTATCAAGCTCTAGAAACATTTTTAAGGAGGGAATCCCACCTCATCCCATTTTTAAAGTGCAAATGCTTTTTCTAAGAGGTAAATCATTCTCTGGTTGTTTATTTTTTGGTACATCCAGAAAATAGTGTGGAATGTTGAATTATGGGAGGCTTTGACTGTCTTGGGTGTCAGCTTAACATTCCATGGATGGGGGGTAGTTTTTATATCCTTATAATACAAAGCATACTAAATGGCACCGTGGAGTTCCAGGCCTGCATTTAATGTCTTGAGTGTTTAAAATTACTTCTGTTCCCATGTTTTTTAGTAGAATTGTTTCCTAAAAACACTGCCCCTTGGTCATGGCTGTCCTGTCAGAATCGCGAGCACTCTGTAACACCTGTGGTCGTGGTAGTCCCGTGTTGCTGATAACTTTGTTGATGTGCTGGGAAAGACTGCAAATTTGAGTGTGTAGTACATGTGATAATAAATTGAATTCGTGGGACTTATGTGACAGCTTATCAGCGTTTGAAGATACTGGCACTTGATATCCTCCTCTTAAGGAAAATTTGCCTCCAAATTTTAAGCTGAAAAGTCACTGGAATAACAGTTTAAAAAAGAATTACAATAAATGGCTTTTTAGATTTGGGGTATGTACATTAAGAATTGTGTACAAATTGAAATGTCTGTACTGATCCTTAACCAATAAAATCTCAATTACAGGCCGGGCGTGGTGGCTCACGCCTGTAATCCTAGCACTTTGGGAGGCCGAGGCGGGCGGATTGCTCAAGGTCAGGAGTTCGAAACCAGCCTGAGCGCTACCAAAAATAGAAATAAGTTAATTGACCAACTAAAGATATATATACAAAAAATTAGCCGGGCATGGTGATGCATGCCTGTAGTCCCAGCTACTCGGGAGGCTGAGGCAGTAAGATTGCTTGAGCCCAGGAGATTGAGGTTGCTGTGAGCCAGGCTGACGCCACGGCACTCACTCTAGCCTGGGCAACAAAGTGAGACTCTGTCTCAAAAAAAAAAAAAAAATCTCAATTAAAAAAAAAAAAAAAAAAAAATCTCAATTACAAAAATAAAAAAGAATAAAGTCGCCCACCTGGTATCTAATTGGAAACCGCTGACATCCCTTAAAAGAGGGCACGAGCCTGAGGGGAAATGCCATTTACTTGAAGCAGGTGGCTCCAGGAGGAGGGCGTGGGGTCAGAGGTCAGCTTGTGAGCGGTCATAAAAGCAGGAAGGTACCGAGCCCTGACAGGATCCAGCCGTCGTTTCCCTTGGTTCCTGTTTCCAAGTGCAGCTGGTTGCAGAGTGAATTTTAGATGTGACGTGAAGACAGGTGATGCTGATGGCCTTTCTGGAGTCTGGTGAACTGGGGTCCCATGAGTGAGTGTGACGTGTTGGGGGGCTCTGCCTCCGACCCTCCCCAGGGCTGGCTGGCTTTCAACCGGATTCTGCCAGAGAAGAGAGAAATCTGCTCCATGTTGCCTTAAATGCAGTGAAAAGGTCGAGACTGGACATCTCTTTTGAACCACCCTCAGTTGAGATTAGAGGCTTGTGATTAGATGTCATCTGGGCATTCCTGTCTCTGCCCTGGGAGTAGAAAAAGTGTAGGATTGCCTCCCTGCAGGCACTCGGCTGTGGATTGCAGACAATTCCGACCATGTCCTGAGGGGTCCTTGATCACTTGAGGTCACACCTGTGGCAAAGGGGCTGGAAGCAGAGCAGGTGATCTCTGGATGTTCCTCAGGGAGGTCAATAAAAGTTCTTTTGACAAGTGCTGAAATTTAGGTCTCATTTCAACAAAAAGATTAAATAGTTGAATCTTACCCAGAGAACCTAGGCAACATTAATTTGAAAACAGTTCACGCATACTGGTCCCCGACCTTCACCAGTCCACGCCCAGTGCTACAAAATTCTACTGAAGACTCTTTTCTTCCAGGAAGGCATGCCTCATGAATACAGCTTTTTGCCTGAATATAAAATATTTTCTCCCAAATCCTTCCCCAGAAAAGAGGGAGTACCTTAAGAGTTAAGTCCTTACAAGGTTTCTCATATTATAAACTCTCTCAACTACTTTGACAACGGAAGTTTTGTTGGGAAGCTACCCATTCACCAAAATGACTTGTTCAGTGTTAATTTTGGGAGGCATGTGGAGACTACCAGAAAGAAATGGCATAAAAAAAGACAAAGGTGCAGAACAAAGATTTAGTAATTATTCTTGGGATATGATCTGAACATTAACTATATCAGATTTCAGTGTGGACAAAATTTTTAAAGACCATTTAAAAAGACCGGGTGTGGTGGCTCATACCTGTAATCCTAGCACTCTGGGAGGCCGAGGCGAGAGGATTGCTCAAGGTCAGGAGTTCGAAACCAGCCTGAGCAAGAGCGAGACCCCGTCTCTACTAAAAATAGGAAGAAATTAATTGGCCAACTAAAAATATATAGAAAAAATTAGCCGAGCATGGTGGTGCATGCCTGTAGTCCCAGCTACTCGGGAGGCAGTAAGATTGCTTGAGCCCAGGAGTCTGAGGTTGCTGTGAGCTAGGCTGATGCCATGGCACTCACTCTAGCATGGGCAACAAAGCAAGACTCTCTCTCTCTCAAAAAAAGATCATTTAAAAAAGTGAAATGGTAAGAGGTTACATTGAGATAATACCTATGTATTTATGAGATAATTGTGGGAATGTATGATAATATGATAAAAGTGGATACTTAGTGCTTGAATGCTGTTTTCCATGACAGATTCGTCGTGCTGTGTCTCAGACAACTACATGGAAATGGTAGAAACCAGCTCTGAAAATCTGTGCTGATGATTCACAAAGGGGATCTGGAGATGACAAGGAAACACTTCGGAGTGCAGGTGAAGAGTTGCATAGAACTATTTCACAAGGTACGAGTGGAAAAAAATCAATATTCTATATTTCTGTACTATTCTGCATCTGATCTAAAGTATATAAAGAGGCAGATCTCTGACTATTTAATCAGCATCTGTAAAGCATACTTACTTAAGTTGTCCAAAAACCTATCTTTAGGATCTTCTCATTGAGGATTTAGGACAGGGGTCCTCAAACTTTTTAAACAGGGTGCCAGTTCATTGTCCCTCAGACCGTTAGAGGGCTGGACTATAGTTTAAAAAAAAACTATGAACAAATTTCTATGCACACTGCATATATCTTATTTTGAAGTAAAAAAACAAACGGGCAAAAACACCTGCATGTGGCCCGCGGGAGGTTGTATGTTACCAAGAATTTATCTGTTTCCTCTAGGTTTTCCAGCCTGTTTGTGTAGAGGTTTTTGTAGTATTCACAGATGACATTTTGTATATCTATAGTATCAGTTGTAACGTCTTCCTTTTCATTTCCAATTGAGGTTATTTGAGCCCTTTCTCTTCTATTTCTGGTCAATCTGGCTAGTGGACTACCAATTTTGTTTCTGTTTTCAAAGAACCAACTTTTTGTTTCACTGATCCTTTGCATTGTTTCTTTGGTTTCCATTTTGTTTAGTTCTACTCAGAGCTTTGTTATTCTGCTGGCTTTGGGTTTGGCATGTTCTTCTTTTTCTAGTTTCTTGAGACTGACATTAGGTTTTTAATTTGTGATCTTTCTGTCTTTTTTTGATGTAGGCATTTAAGACTATGTACTTTTCCCTTAGGGCTGCTTTTACTGTATCCCATAGATCTTGAAAAGCTTGCATCCCCTCTGTCATTCAATTCAAGGAATCTTATGATTTCCATCTTAATTTCATTATTAATCCAAGGATCATTCAGCAGCAGGTTGTTTAAATTCCATCACTTTGTGTAGATTTGAGTGTTTCTCTTGGAATTGATTTCTAGTTTTATTCCATTGTGGTCTGAGAAGTTACATGGTATGATTTTGATTTTTTTTTTTTTTAATTTGCTGAATGTTTTGTGGCCTGAGACATGATCATCTTGGAAAATGCCCTATGTGCTGATGAAAACAAATGTATATTTGGTAGTTTTTGGATAGAATGTTCTGTAAATGTCTGTTAGGTCTATTTGTTCTAGTGTTCCAATTAAGTTCACTGTTTCTTTATTCACTTTCTCCTTCAATGATCCTTCCAGTTCTGTCAGAGGAGTGTTGAAGCCCCTGACTATTAAGATGCTACCATTTGTTTCATTGCTTAGATCTAGAAGAATTGGCTTTATGAAACTGGGAGCTCCTGTGTTAGGTGCATATATATTGAGGATTTGTTGAATTGCTCCCTTTACCATTATATAATGACCATCTTTGACTTTTTTTTTTTTTTTACCACCATTGTTGATTTAAAATCTATTTTATTTGATATGAGAATGGCTACATCTACTCACTTTGGGTTTCCATTTGTGTGGAATATTTCTTCCATCCCATTACCTTGAGTCTGTGTGAGTCCTTGTGGTTTAGATGTGTTTATTGGAAACAACAAATATTTGGGTTGTGTTTTTTCATCCATTCAGCCAGTCTGTCTTTTAAGTGGGGCATTCAGACTGTTCACATTGAGTGTTAGTATTAACTTGTGGGATGCTGGTTCTGTTCAACATATTGGATGATACCTTATTGTTTTGTATTCCTCCTTGTGCTATTGTTTTATAAGAGCTGTGAACCACAACTTTTGGGTGTTTTTGCACAGGTCAGTATCTATTGTGCCGTTGCATGTATAACGCACTTGGAGCATTTCCTGTAGGGCATGTCTAGTAGTGACAAATTCCCTTAGTGTTTGCTAGTCTGAGAAAGACTTTTCTCCTTCATATATGAAACTTAGTTTAGCAGGATACAAAATTATGAGCTGGCTGCTATTTTGTTTAAGGAGATTAAAGATAGGATCCCATTCCTTTCTGAGTTGTAAGGTTTCTCTTGAGAAGTCTTTTAGTCTGATGGGTTTTCCTTTGTAAGTTCCTTGATGGTTTTGCCACATGACTCACAGGAATTCCTCCTTCATGTTGACTTTGGCCAGTCTGTTAACTATTAATATATGCCTTGGTGGTGATTCCCTTTTTGCAATGCATCTCCCAGGTATTCTTATATCTAGATGTCTTAATTTCTAGCAAGACCAGGGAAGTTCTCAGTTATTCCCTCAAATATGTTTTCCAGTTCTTGTGCTTTTTCTTCTTCATCTTCAAGGATGCCTATGATTTTTATATTTGGCCATTTTACATAATTCCACATTTCTTGTAGACTTTGTTCATTCCTCTTGATTCTTTGTTCTTTATTTTTGACTGATTGGGCTAATTCAAAAGAGTTGTCTTCAAGCTCTGAAATTCTTTCTTCTGCTTGGTCTAATCTATTCTTCAAACATAAGGAAATATCTTATATTTCCTTAAATGAATTTTTTATTTTCAGAAGTTTTTTTTTTTGCTAAAATATATCTCTTTAGTAAAATTTTCATTCATTTCCTGAATTGTTTTTCTGGCTTCTTTGGATTTTCCATTTTCTCATGGATCTCATTGAACTTCCTTACAATCCATATTTGGAACTCTTTATCTGTCATTTCAGTATTTTTCATTTTGGTTGGGATCCATTGCTAGAGAGCCGGTGCGCTCCTTTGTGGGTGAACTTTCACTCTGATTTTTCATAGTTCTGGAGTTCCTGCACTGATTCTTTTTCATCTGGAGCAGCTGTCACTTCTTGGTTTTGGATTTTCTTTTGTTTAGATGGAGCTTCCCTGCTCCTACCCCACCCTCTGGCCCCAACATACTCTCAAGGGTTTTTTTGTGGATACTTTAATTGGAGTCTAGGTTCTG